TTCCGGCTCGTGGTCGCCACTCAAGAACTTTCCTGCCCCAGCGGCCATCAGCTCTACGAGTTATGTGCCCCGCAAACTGCCACTTGATTTTAGCGATTCTGCGGGCTATGTCAGTCACTTTGGTTCTCCTACGGATCTCCAGTCGCATATAATACATTTGTAATAACAATGATGCCTCACTTATGCCTCTACCGAAACACATTCTGTTCACAAAAAGCTTTTGCCATTTTCAGGGAGACAATAAGTGGTAATGTTAATGAGCACTACATTTTACGTAGTCCAGTAAACACATGTGAAGTTTCAGAATGTGGACTGGATTTCTGAATACGTAGCATCACATTTTTAAATGAAAATTTAATTTTTACCGTTTAATTGTTATACAGAGTGTAGGCGACAGACAATACGGAAGTAAATGAAAATTAAAATACTGACGTAGGTCTTTAGAGTATTATGAAACCGCGTTAACTTAAAGCTTGGTTTTCAAACTGCTTCAAATTAACCTGATAGACAACACGATACTTTTAACTGTTTCTGAGTTGAAAGGTCGTGACCGACAGACGGTAAACGAAGTAATGTCATGCATTACCTACATTAACAATACATTAAAAATAAACAAGTAAGTCAAGATAGGAGCATTTTCTCGAGCATTTATATATATATATGTATAACTAGCTTTCCGCCAGCAGCTTCGCGTGGAATTTTGTCTGTCTCTGAAAAACATTATCGCGCGCGTCCTTGTTTCAAAAACCGGAATAAAAACTATTCTATGTCCTTTTCCGGGACTCAAACTATCTCTATGCCAAATTTCATCAAAATCGGTTCAGTAGTTTAGGCGTGAAAGCTAGACAGACAGACAGACAGAGTTACTTTCGCATTTATAATATTTGTATAGAAGTATAGATGAAACGTTTTTACGAATGGTACAATGCAGGTAACATGTACGACTTTTGGTTCGGGAAAGGGTGCGACACATATCATAGAGCGGCTTGTTGTTTTGTTACAAGTAAATGCTCTAGTACATTGGTTCCCAAACTTATTAGATGCGCCCCCTTGTGACCATACAAAAAATTCCGCGCCCTCCTCCAGTAAAGATTATTTATTGGTCGTATCGAGCAGTCTGGAATGCATTCTCTCAGCGGTCGCAGGTTTTTTATACTTAAGTACACAGGTGGCTCGCGCCCCCCTTTAAAGGTCTTTGCACCTCCACTGGGGGCCGCGCCCCCCACTTTGGGAACCAATGCTCTAGTGGCTAGTCTATACACACCAGTAGGCCTAAGATGCGCGCCGTGATAGGCGGTTATCACGCCATTTTATCGATTTTGCCTATACAAATTGACGTCGATAAAAGTTATCACGACGCGCATCTTAGGCCTACTGTATACGAGACTGAAAACAACTGAACGTCATTATTTAAACGCATCATTGGTCGCAATAAACAACTCTACAAACTTGATAATGGAATGCAAACAATTCACTAACCATTAAAGAACTTAAAGAAACCTCTTTCTTCGTAACAGAAGACTGTTTGTATTGTTTTAGGTGTTTTATTTATTGAATTCCAAATAGCGTTTGAGTAGTTTGTGGTGTCGATGTTTTTAAAGTGTTCCTTTGAGAACATTTTTATTGTTCAAGATCTTAATGGAAGGTAAATAGCGTGGGACTAATGGAAGTTGTAGTGTAGATTTTATTGAAAAATGTTAGTAAGTACTTTTTACTTTTCAGTCTTCTAAAACCATATAATTCAATGGCTGTCTGTTGCAGAAATAGCTCTCTAAAGGCTGATTTACACGTATTAAGCGAGCCTTTACCGCCATTTTAGCGCAACCGACAAAAACCAAATTTTACAGGAGAAGGTTTTTTTTAAATATTTTTAATCAGAAGTGTGCTAATAACAAGAAAAATGACATACGTTAATGATTTTTAGAGATTTAAATATATGACTGAAAATAAAACAAAAATAATGAGTATTTATGCCATTTATGGCGCATACTATATTTTTGCTGTCACAGTCTATAGATATTCGGGCANGGGGCACTGCTGTGCCCCCAGATTTAAATGTTAGCAGCACTGTTTCTTGCACTGTTATGTTGGCAGGTTTGACTCTTACAGTACCTAGTGCAAGCGAAAACCGACACTAAGGTGACGAACCTTTTCATTCCGCGACTGTACTTAACCTTCTCTCTCAGAAACTTTTTAACTAGAGCTACATTGATTACAATAAAAATCACATAGTAATGTTATGTATTAATTGAAAATATTAGTAATCAAAGTTAAATAGCCTTATGTTGTATGCTAAAATTAATAATTTATACAGGGTGACTGGAACTGAACCCGCCATAGCTAATACGCGTATAGAGGAGGTCATTTGCTAATTATTGAACCTTACTTTCTATGACTAAAGTTTCATAGTTTAGGAGATATGTCAATTTTCATACTTTTTCCGAAATTTGACCTAAAAACTGCTTAATTTTTTTTCTCGCATGATTTTAACCGATTTTTTTATTTGATACTAATATCGAATAAACCTTTAGTCAAATAAAATAAATTTCAGATCCAGATAATGATTGAATAACTAGTTACGAGCCGCCAAAGTTTAACAAAAGTACAAACCACGATAAAAAATTCAAGTTCGAATTCGATTTATAAAAAAACTAATGGTGATAATGGATTGCCAATGATCTTAAAAATATCTTTACCTTCTCTTCTTTCCAATGATATATCACACGTAGTAAGTAGATATTGAAATTTATTAAAAATTCAAAGTTTATGGAAGAAAATGGAGTAATAATACAAAAATTATCCATACAAAGTTTCTTCAAACATCTCATATTTTCTGCTATACTCCTTTTCATAACTATTTTTGTGTGTTTTTTGAAAAATTAATTTAAAATAATAATCACATTATGAAGAAAAGATTTAAAAAAAATTCAAAATCAACTTTGTATGGATAATTTTTGTATTATTACTTATGAGCAGCGCGCGCGCGTGTAACGTGCGGAGCGCGAACGCGTACTGGCGATCGATGCGTCGCGGCTATGGGCGGGACGCCGATCGAAAATTCTAGAGCGCTGTAACCGTTAGCGGGGCGCGGCGCGCGGGGTGTAGCTCGCGCGGGATTCGAGCTATGCCCATATCGGGTAGCGTAGCGTGATGCCGGCGCGATAGGCACGTAGTAACCGGTTTGCTATATGCTCCCCCTCTAGACCAGGGAAACGCCCTCGTCCGTGGTCTAGCATCAACCATCATCCCCCCCTAAACCTTACGTGGTCTTCCGCGTTTCCTTTTAGGAATAACGGGCTTCGGAGGGACGGCTTCGCTACCTTGGTAACGGGTAAGATCTTGTGTATGATATCTCCCTATAACAATGTCAGGCTGGTCGGTACTGGAGATGTTGTAAGTAGTAGGGCTAACCTTCTCTGCTATGCGATAAGGTCCATCACGGCGCGGGAAGAACTTGGCCGTCAGGTCTTTGGAGCCTTTACTCAGGAGGTGAGATTTTAAAAGAACTAAGTCACCAACCTGGAATGCATCTGAGGGACGACGCGTAGAATCAGCGTACTGCTTAGCCTTATCCTGTTGGATCTCCACCCGTTCTCGCACAGCTGACAGTGACTTCAGGAATGTCCTGAGATAAGGGGTAATTTGTGGGACGAAATTGTCTTTGTTTGAGATAGCACGAAGGTCGTGTACGACCTCTGTGGGGGACCGCATTTCTCTGCCGAAAGTTAGAAAAGCTGGTGACGTACCTGTAGTGCGGCACTTTGCACTATTCAAGGCAAAGCGGATCACCGGTAGCTTTACTGGCCATGATGTGTGGTCCTCTTCCACGAGATGTGCTAACATTGCTTTAATCAGTGGAATTAAATTTTACATAATTGCACTTACAATCAACTTGTAAGGATGGACTATACTGCTCATTATTGCACTGTGACACACTATTTGTATTAACACAGGATTGAGAAACATTACAGTTAGTCTTATGAAAATGGCACTTACAAGCTTGTAAGGATTGAGTATACTGAACATTATTGCACTGTGACACGTTATCTCGATTGTCACAGGATTGACAAGAATTAAATTTGGTTTTATCAAAATTGCACTTACAAGTTTGTAAGGACTGAGTATGCTGATTACTATTACATTGTGACAAATTATTACGACAATCACATGGCAGCGAAAAATTAAGTTTTTCGGAATTACACTTACGAGACATTGGTAAGGATTGAACATGTTGATTCGTATTACATTGTGGCATACTATTGTTACTCTTAGCATCTTGTTTATCTTTACAAGAGTGAGAAAAATTACATTTTTCTGGAGTAATCGAACTTTTAAAAGATTGAGCATTGTAACTATCGCTATTACACTGAATGTTATTGCGACTTCGTTCATCAAATAATGTATTTAATCGCGTTTTTGAACTCTGTGAAATAGAATGATTATGCACGTAGGGAGCGGGAGACGAGTAGGAACTTTGATCACTACAATTAGTAGGTATTTTCGAGTTACTATTATTTGATGGGCGAGTCGTTTTCTTTGTAGTTTTATGGTTAGAGTCTTTAGAGTTTAGGTTACGAATTGGTTTCGAACACTGATTACGCACTTTACGCGAAAACGACCGGGATTCGACACTAAAGAATGGCTCACTTTTGTCACGCAACGAGTTATCACCGTTATCACGCACTGAACAGTTAGTAGGGAATTGGGACTGACCTTGGCTCTGCAACTTACGGCATTGATCGCGGGTGTGCCCAAANGTGCTCCGTATTACGTCCGTTCCGCCAGAGAATAGCCCCGACCATATACGAGACGCAATACAGCACACAAGATTCGAACATGTAGTAAAAAAAATGTTTAATACTATCATAATCTTTTGTACGAAATAAATGTTCTTTTAAAAATATATTGCTACATACCTTTGTTTGTGAGCTGAAGATGTGGATCACATTCCCGCTTCCGATTTATTGAAAAAAGTTACTTGTTGATCAATTACTTATTAAAAGTATTCACAGACGATCGAACTTGGTTCGGAACGGACCACGAACCGTACGGTGCGGTCTACACAACAGACTAGCGCACCAGACTCCGAATCGTCCAGTCTTAATTGTGCTAGCATTGCGTGAACACGTCTCCTCGACATGCCGCCTATTCTATCAAAACAGGCCAAAATTGCATTAGTTGCGGCAACTATCGTTGCTACATCGCCATTACATAACCAACGAAAAAGAAGAAAAGAATGGGCAAAATTTTATCTCAGAAACAGACAACAGTACAGTCATATGAATCTCATTAAAGATCTCGATGATAAAGATTTTCGTATATATCTTCGAATGAGTTCCGAAGCATTTATTGAATTGTTGGATCTTGTGAAACCACATGTAACTAAATCCGATACAGTTATGCGACAAGCTGTGAGTGCTGAAGAGAGATTGGTGGCTACTTTAAAATTTCTAGCGTCTGGTAGAGAATTCAGAGAACTTAAATTCAGCACTAGTATATCATCACAATTACTATCAGAGATAATACCAGAGACCTGTGAAGCAATCTATACAGTGCTCAAAAACTATGTGAAGGTATGTATAATTTATAGGTATCAAATAACACTAACATAATTTCAATCATATTTTTTTTATTTATTCGTTAATTATTGAATGTGACAGTGAAGCCGCAGTAAGTACAAATTCTATTTTTTAAATATCAAATATTCATGTATGTCAGTCCCTTTTCCTCTAAAAACGTTCTGCTGGCTTATCTCAGAAGGAATGTTATTTGAAGGTGGTTGTACAATGGAATGCTGTAGTAGTTCATCTGCAACGGGGCGTCTTAGCTAGCTCAGTCTGACACCCCGCTGTTTAGTACTAAGTCCCAGTTCGCCTTCTGCGATGAGGGATGTGTACCTATCCAGGATGCCTACAGGGATATTTGACCAAGGAAACGCACAATCAATAACACAATGGCACTTTATAATCTAGGTTCCACAATAGTTTACTTATTCTAGTTTCACTGACTCTAAATCGCTATCGTTTAATAATGAGCAAGTTTACAAGTACTTTACAAGTTATATCACAATTTACTAATTACAACAAGAGGAATAACGACGCGCCCGGTTCGCGTCCCGCTTACAGTTATGTAAGGATTGACTATTCTGATCATTTTTGCATTGTGACTCATTATTACTAGAATTATCACAAGAATAAACAAAATTAGAATTTTCAAAATTGCACTTACAACGACTGTGTAAGGATTGGCGACACTGACTATTGTTGCATTGTGACACAAAATTATTATAATCACAAGAATCAGTGGAATTAAATTTTACATAATTGCACTTACAATCAACTTGTAAGGATGGACTATACTGCACATTATTGCACTGTGACACACTATTTGTATTAACACAGGATTGAGAAACATTACAGTTAGTCTTATGAAAATGGCACTTACAAGCTTGTAAGGATTGAGTATACTGAACATTATTGCACTGTGACACGTTATCTCGATTGTCACAGGATTGACAAGAATTAAATTTGGTTTTATCAAAATTGCACTTACAAGTTTGTAAGGACTGAGTATGCTGATTACTATTACATTGTGACAAATTATTACGACAATCACATGGCAGCGAAAAATTAAGTTTTTCGGAATTACACTTACGAGACATTGGTAAGGATTGAACATGTTGATTCGTATTACATTGTGGCATACTATTGTTACTCTTAGCATCTTGTTTATCTTTACAAGAGTGAGAAAAATTACATTTTTCTGGAGTAATCGAACTTTTAAAAGATTGAGCATTGTAACTATCGCTATTACACTGAATGTTATTGCGACTTCGTTCATCAAATAATGTATTTAATCGCGTTTTTGAACTCTGTGAAATAGAATGATTTTGCACATCGGAAGCGGGACACGAGTAGGAACTTTGATCACTACAATTAGTAGGTATTTTCGAGTTACTATTATTTGATGGACGAGTCGTTTTCTTTGTAGTTTTATGGTTAGAGTCTTTAGAGTTTAAGTTACGAATTGGTTTCGAACACTGATTACGCACTTTACGCGAAAACGACCGGGATTCGACACTAAAGAATGGCTCACTTTTATCACGCAACGAGTTATCACCGTTATCACGCACTGAATAGTTAGTAGGGAATTGGGACTGACCTTGGCTCTGCAACTTACGGCATTGATCGCGGGTGTGTCCAAACCTTTTGCAGTACGTGCATGTGGGACGCGACTTTCTCGCGGCGGGGGCGGCGGCGGCGTCAGGTGATGGTTGCGGCGGCGGGGACGACGGCGGCGGGGGCGGCGGCGGCTGGCGGGCGGCGGCGTACGTGACGGCCGGCGGCGCCCGGGTGGCGGCGGCTGCGGGGGCCGGATAGCGGCTGGCGGCGGCGGCAGGCGGCGGTTGCGGGGCACGTATGGCGGATTCCGGCGCCGTATAAGTGGGCGCTCGGGGACCGGCGTATGTTGTGCTCGCGCGGGGTGCCGTGCGCGGCGTCGGAGTACCTCTCGACGTATCTGCCTCGCCCTGGCTGTCTTCTATATTGCGCGCATGACGTAGTAGGTCTTGAAAAGTGGCAAATTCTTCACGGCGTAGTCTCTGCCGGATTTTAGTGTGTAGGAGGCCGTACACCATGTCTAGCCTGGCCTTCTCCGAGACGTCTCTATCCGATATTTTCGATAGAAGGGCACGGCTGCGCGCTATGAATGTGTCCGTGTTTTCATTGTGCATCTGCGGGCTCGCGAATAGCTGTAGGTAAATGCGGTGTGGCGGGCGGCGGTCACCGAAGGCACTTATCAGGTTCTCTTTGGCCTCGTCCCACGATGTGATGGTGTTCTTGATGCCAAGCCACCACGTAGCAGCATCACCACTGAAGAGAAATGCGAGGCCGCGAACGATGTTAGTGCTGGACACTTGAGCACAGTCGCTGTACGCCTCGACGGCGTCTATAAACGCTTCTACCGATTCGTTCGGGTGGCCGGAAAATTGTGACTTACAGCGGGCCAGGGTGCCTTCCCCTGGGGCCGGTGTCGACGTGTTAATTCGTGTCACAGATAACAGGAGGTCTTTGAATGCTTCCGTCTGCGATCTTTGCAATGATTCTATTATGCTGGCTACGTTTTCAGTAGAAAAGTGAGAAGCGGGAACGTAGGTCGTATCGCGGCTTGTTGGAACTTCGTGTTCATCGCGATCCTGCGTCGGCGGCGTGGGCGACAGAGGGCTGGGAAATGCGGGATTCGGCGCCGCATTCTCTCTGTCACACGCGTTTCGGCTTCTTGTGTGCATTGCGGAGAACGAATAACTTTTACACTGTCACTGTAGGTCACTTATACATATTTTACGTTGGGCGCCAGATATGAGCAGCGCGCGCGCGTGTAACGTGCGGAGCGCGAACGCGTACTGGCGATCGATGCGTCGCGGCTATGGGCGGGACGCCGATCGAAAATTCTAGAGCGCTGTAACCGTTAGCGGGGCGCGGCGCGCGGGGTGTAGCTCGCGCGGGATTCGAGCTATGCCCATATCGGGTAGCGTAGCGTGATGCCGGCGCGATAGGCACGTAGTAACCGGTTTGCTATATACTCCATTTTCTTCCATAAACTTAGAATTTTTGACAAATTTCAACATCTAATTACAACGTGTGATATATCATTGGAAAGAAGAGAAGTTAGAGATATTTTTAAGATTATTGGCAATCCATTATCACCATTAGTTTTTTTTAAATCGAATTCGAAGTACAATTTTTTTTCGTGGTTTGTACTTTTCTTAGACTTTGGCGGCTCGTAACTATTTATTCAATCATTATCTGGATCCGAAATCTATTTTATTTTAATAAAGACATATTCGATATTAATATCTAATAAAAAAAACTGTTGAAATTACGCGAGAAAAAAAATTTAAGCAGTTTTTAGGTCAAATTTCGGAAAAATCTGAAAAAAGTATAAAAATTGACATATCTCCTAAACTATAAAACTTTAGACATAGAAAGTATGGTTCAATAATTAGCAAATGACCTCCTCTATACGCGTATTAGCTATGGCGGGTTGAGTTCCAGTCACCCTGTATACATTTTCACCAATCAAGTTAGATCGTCTGTCCGCATATATTTGTCCTGCAGCACTGAACAATTGCTCACTAGGGACACTGCTGGGAGGAGCAGATAAATATTTAATTGCAATTGGACGTAGACAACTATACGGACAAGAAGACCAATATTCATATATGTCAGCATTCCTCAGAAGCAATGGTTCTTTTAAAAAACATGTAAGATGCTCTTCAAAAGGGGGACCAGGTTGATCCAAACCCAACTAATTTTCACTTGCAATTGTGGCAGATGTTACAAAATTATCATGCGAATCCCACAAGTCATCATCTCTTTTTTTGTGAATACCCCTTCGTTAGCTGGATCCGAATTTGAACAAGAAGGTCTAGGTTCATCAACATCTATATCCATAAAAGCTGCTGATCGTGACTGAGACCCTGTTTGTCGTAAAAATGATAATATTTCAGTCTTTGTAATTTCAGTTTCATCGTTGGTCAAATACTTCGATTTAAATCGGGGATCTACTAGAGTGGCAATCATTAAATGAGGACTATTCTCCTGTGAATTGAATCACGTAACTGGATCTTCAGCAGTGTTACTTTTTCAGGATCTTCATCTTTTGTAGTCATCTTTGAATTAAGCATGACGATCAATGGTATTATCAAAGATATCGAAGAAGAATCGCTCGAAATATCAAGGGTGGCTTGATAAAAGCACCTAAGTATTGCTATATAATAGCCTATTTGTTCCCATTCTTCTGCAGTTGGGATTTCTATTCCACCGCGTTCTGCCATATATAAGTTGATTGCATTTTTTTGTTCTAAGAGTCTTTCTAACATTAAATAAGTGCTGTTCCACCGGGTTTCGATATCTTGAATTAAAACGTGTCTGGGTAAGCTGCATGTTTCTAGAAACCTTTCTAAATATCGAGAAGCTTGTTCGCTTCTTTTAAAATGACCAACGACTTTGCGACATTTCTTAATCAGATTCATAGAAGTAGCGTCTTTGAATATGACATCATGAATAACAAGCTGGAGCGTATGAGCTACGCACCCAATAGACAGAAAGTTACCACAACGCATAGCCGCCTGCATATTGTAAGCATTGTCGCGGATAACCATGTGAACTTTATTTGTTAAATTAAATTCAGCAATAATTTCGTTAAGTTTCGCTGAAATATGCTGCCCTGTATGATCTTCTTCCAGGACACTAGCTGCCAGTATAACTTTTTCTCTTTTTGAGCCATTAATAAAGTGGGCTGTACAACTTAGCAACGAACAGGTCTTTGCTGGATTACTCCAAATATCAGTAGTAAAGCTGACCCATTCAGCTTTTTGTAGGAGAAGTATGACTTTACCTTTTACTTTTTCGTACGTTTCTGGCATTAAAGTCGTTCTGAAGTATTTCTCAGACTTTTTCCTATACCTGAACGTAGTGTCAGGGTCATTCAGATGGAGCCTTTGAAATGCTTCTCCTTCAACAAGGTTGTATGGCAGCATGTCGACGATAATGAGATCCATAATACTCTTATCAATACGTGATGATATAGGGTGATTATCAGGCCACGGCGGCGCAATTTTTTTTTCAATGATTTCTTATAAAGTAGTTTGAGATTGATTTTTTTTCTTTTTAATTTGCGAAGGGCCAGAAGACTCCGACTTTTTTTTCATCAAGCTCTGGCGATTTTCATTTTTCTTATAATAAGCTGCCCATTCATTTTCATGAAGTTTTGCCAAATGATTTTTAATATTAGTTGTTGTTTGTTTTTTTGGTAAGGTGCTACCAAGAGACAAAGACTTGTTACATATTTTACAAGTTGCTTTATCAATGTCATTGTTTTTTGTAAAGTATTCCCATATAGGACCCGTAGATGCCATCACGTACCTGAAATAATTAAAAAAATATAATAAATACCTATTTGTTTCTTCAACTACATTCATTAAGCTCCAAACTAAGCCCAACACTGCATATACAATATGAATACGACAATAAATTAAAACTCAAACAGTAAATACCTAGTCTTTATACAGCTAATTTTCAATTGGAAATCTAATTTATTAATTTGGAACTATGAAATGATTCTAACAAAAAAATAAACATTTCCTAAGAAACTATATCCAATAGAAATTATAATAATTACCTATGAGAGTATAACATACAAATCCAAACCTATGTTAAAGCTCCTCAGCTCCTCCAAAGCCCTAAACACGGAGGATATCGCGTGTGTAAGTACCTAAGTTTTTGAGTGTAATAAACCTAATATACACTAGAAATGATATTAAGTTTTAAAATAAAAACTCAAAACATTAATGAGAAAAACATGAACGATCCTAATTCATTCATTTACTAAATATGTATATCATTAAGTCGTTACTAATAGAAAATTTCTATTAACTCATAATAACTACCGTATACAAAATAGGTACCTATTGATTTCTTACTAAATACTAAACAAATACTTACGTGAGGATTGTCCTTTTCACTTGTTCACTTGTAAATCAACACTAATCTATCACAATTTAAAAGATAAGCACAAATTCAAAACAAAACACTAGTTTAAAAACACGTACGAACTTGTTTTGAAGCATGCAATGTGATATTTTGACAGTGACTCCCCGCCGCCTCATGACATTCGTAACAGTTCGTTTAATGTCGGCAGTCGCTCGGACCTTCGGCGAAACCTTTGTTTTGCCGAAGGTGCACTTTTTGGCCGAAGGTGGCCGAAGCCGAAGCCGAAGCTTCGGTCGGACACTACCCTAGACCAATCAACAAATGAGGCGTCTAGTTTCAAATCCCGCTAAAACGATTTTGATAAAATTTCGAGAAATTGAAAAAAACCGCTTATCCATATAGCTTTGCCTTAGGCAAAAAAATATATGATACGAATTATTATTGTCATCTGGCAATACTAACAGTAATTGCTATTCATCTTTATATTAAATATAATTTGAATTATAGTGGAAATTATTTTCATTATGGCGTACTTTGTTACGAACATTCGGTTTTGATGGGATTTGAAACGAACATGTTGTATTTTAGCGGGATTTGTTATGAACAAATTGTAATGCATGGATGGCGTTCTACAATAAAGTTTAATATTAAGTTTATACCAAATAATGATAAAATAAATAGTTTTCCGTATTAGTTCGTCCATTCTATAATATTCAAAGCTATTGGACTTATTGATTAGGTTATTAGATTAATAAAATTTTATCGAGTTCTTAAAAAAAACAAACAATTAAATTATAGCATGCAAATAAACTTTAATAAATTAAATACAATTGAAAACATCTTCAAAACCATGTTCACACAGGTGGTCCTCGTCATCGCCAAGTGTCTCCGGGACGTCACCAAACCTGTTCAAATCCAGACCTTGCAATCGTTCCTCAATATTTTTATAAAATTCCAAATCAGGTAAAATCCTCCAGTCAGTGCCAAAGTGTTTTTGAAGAAGTTTAGTGACGTCGACGACTTTGGATTTCTTCGGTGTTATAGAATTAGGCTCAACAATTTCAGGTGAAATCATTGTAATTTTTTTGTTCTTTTTTGTAACTACTTTCTTAAGGTTGATTTCAGATTTGTATGCCACTTCTCCTTGAACAAAAATATTTTCAGTTTTAGTGCGAGTTAGAAAGAAACGTTTTGACTTCATGAATGGAAAATGCCAGGCAGTGGTTGGTTTAATTATAGTTTCGTAACTCTTTTTCCAGTTTAACACGGGAATGCATGAAAGGTCAATGACAGTTCCATGTTCTTTCAGCACATTCACGTACTCTGAAGGACACGTGACGACCTCTTTTTTCTTTAAGGTCTTCTCTATTTTCGCAAATACACGATCTGGCGGGATAAACGAATGTCCAACAACGGGAAAAATCAGTTCAACTTTTTTTACATGTCTCGGAGCTTCAGAATACAACCACTTTCCTAACATGGTTATCATCCCGGTGTTTTTGTTCTGTCCTGAACATCCATCACAAACTACACGTAGAGTTTTAATTTCCTCGTCAAAAGTGGTGTTCTGTAAGAAATGGTACACAGCACTTATTATTTCATTTCCTCCCTTGCTGTGAATCGTTTCATTCCAGTAATATGAATGAACATTTTTTTTATCAAGCTTGGCCTTCGAACTTCCTTCAACTATTGCGAAATGGTAAAAACTAAATTGTCGGCTGTAATACGCAGACTGGTCTGGAACCTTGGGTAGGGCTTGATTTTTCTGACAGTCAAAGGTTATTGTTTTCATGGATTTGTCCTCCTTTTGCAAAATGGAATAAAAAGCTTTATATTTTAATCGGTGAATTCTTTTCTGAGTCATCGCTTCTAGTTTTTTAACGGGATTGTTTTCATTTTTTATTATCTCTTCTAAAGATATGCAGGTGGAGCAAACATCAGTTCTTGGACTTTTAAAACCAATATTGTAGTTAGAGTTGAATATTTTGCGAAAAAAGCCTTGCTTCACTTTCAAATCATTCTCGCGCTCGTTGTTGTACATACGCCACATTTTGCGTATGTTAAGGCCGGATGGTAGGTACAATCTTTGCGTTTTGGACCGACAATAATGACTTTCTTGTCCTTTAAACTTTTCAATGAACCATTGAACAGACAAGTTCTTTGCTTCATACCTTGCGCTTCTATGATCACCGCCTCTTTTTTCTGTGGGATGATTTCCGCCACTTTTGTAAAATCTGCTCAGAACACCCTTTACTCTATCTTTCTTTATCATAAGTGCATCAAGAAATGTTTTTTGGCAAACCGGTATCATTTGTCCTCGATTATTAATAATGTGGTATTTTGTGGCAATCTGCCTCTTGCTATTGGTTTTTTGTTTTTTGCTTGTTTTAACATTGCAATATTTTAATATAAATGAATCTTGCGTTATTTTTGTACTACACTTGTAAAAGTTTCGATGAAATCTTCTGATGTCTTGGGATGTTAGTATTGTGCATCTAAAAGACTTTTGGTTATGTGCGCACGTTTGAAATTTTGGCAGACTTTTGGCTTCGTACCTGAAAACAATATGAGATTTAACTATGTAGATAAAATGAGATAAAACATCTAGTTGAAATAAAACTACGTATATACCCTTCCGTCACACGTCTGGGATGTTCATTGTTAAACACTTCCAATTTTAGAAATACAAAAAATGCCCGACGATTTGCCCAAAAACCCAAATTAAAGGTAGGTATAAGTATTTTATATTAAAACTAGCGGCCGCCCGCGACTTCGTATGCGTGCATCCCGTTTTACCCTCTTCATCTATCTTACGTGGTTTAGATTTTTTCATACAAATGTTTTTTCCCGCTAACTCCCGTTCCCGTGGGAATTTTGCAATATCCTGTTGTAACTAAGCTCTAAGTTTACTAAGATACCTGCATGCCAAATTTCAAGCGTCTAACTTAAGCGGTTTAGATTTTTCATACAAATGTTTTTCCCGCTAACTCCCGTTCCCGTGGGAATTTTGCAATATCCTGTTGTAACTAAGCTCTAAATTTACTAAGATACCTGCATGCCAAATTTCAAGTGTCTAACTTAAGCGCTTTAGATTTTTCATACAAAAGCTTTTTTCCGATAATTCCCGTTCCCACGGGAATTCCTAAGTATACTATAACCTGCCCAGGAGTATGAAGAATAATTGTACCAAGTTTTGTTCAAATCCGTCTAGTACTTTTGGTTTCTATAAGGAACATACAGACGGACAGACAGACAGACAGACAGACAAAAATTTTACTGATTGCATTTTTGGCATCAGTATTGGTGTGGCGTGTAAATAGCCACACCAGGCGGGATCTTAATCGGAAGTCCAAATTACGTTTCCCAAATGATTTTGCCTGCAGAGGAGAAATAGTTGGTCCCACTAACCTCTGAGCCAATCTCGGGTCCCCTTCCGTCAGCTCGACCACTGCTGGCACCGGGACACTCCGGGATGAAGATGGATCGGCTTCACTTCCCCTGCAGGGGGTTCAGGTCACGAGCAATTTGGGCTTTGAATGCGGAGATGCGTTTGCTGCGTATGCGTTGTGCGTTATGATGCGATTTGCGGGAGATAAAAGTGCGGTTTTTTCACTCGCGAAACTGCGAAGATGTGCGTTGCGTTTAAGTTCTTACGGTGAAGTGTGTCAAAGCTTGACGTTCAGAAACGCCAAGAATGACCACAGAGATGTGGAAACCAAACAGTTTTCTACCTGCAGACAAAACTATTTGGGAATTAAAAATAAAACTAAAGTTAAGCGTACATCCGCGTAACCATACTCCCCGCCTTGGAAGTTCGCAGAAACTTTCAAAAAACTTACTAATGTGAACTTAATACGTTGCAATCCTTGCAATGCAACGGTGTAAATTCAAAGAAAAAATAAATAAATCAAAAGAACTCAGACCTCGAGTCTAATAACTTAACAATAAACAATTAAATGCGTTAAAATAAATTATATTATTGCGTAGGTACTGGGTACAACTTCACGACAGGACGTTTAAAGTTACCATATTTGGTCCTAACCATCGCTACGCGAGTGACACCATCTGTACCAGGGTACACCTCAGAAATGTTAATTAAATGCGCTAGCCTTATTTATTTATTTATTTATTTATTTATTTATTTATTTATTTTATAGAAACCAACAGCGATACATTGAAAATATTAGTTATAAGATTTAGACTGATAGTATAGCCAATGAAAGGTTTCCCTTTTTATAAAAGTACATTGTTGTTGGGAAAAAATATGAATAAAAGATGTTAAAAAAATGATAATAATNAGCTAGCTCAGTCTGACACCCCGCTGTTTAGTACTAAGTCCCAGTTCGCCTTCTGCGATGAGGGATGTGTACCTATCCAGGATGCCTACAGGGATATTTGACCAAGGAAACGCACAATCAATAACACAATGGCACTTTATAATCTAGGTTCCACAATAGTTTACTTATTCTAGTTTCACTGACTCTAAATCGCTATCGTTTAATAATGAGCAAGTTTACAAGTACTTTACAAGTTATATCACAATTTACTAATTACAACAAGAGGAATAACGACGCGCCCGGTTCGCGTCCCGTTAGCTAGCTTTCGTATCCGCGAGAGGGGCGGCGCCCTGTGCGAGGTTTATCGAGTGTTAGTCTGGATACTTATAACTAGGGGGGTAGGATGTGGTCCGATTAGCTCGAGCCAGAGACCGAAGCCTCAATAGTGAGCGCGACCACTGGGGAAAGGCGTTGGACCTACGGGGCGAGGGGGTGTGAAGTTCAGGAAGGGTGGCAGCAGGATTGCTACCGCAGGTTCGGGATGAGTATCTCATGCACTACTCGGTAAGGACGAGAACCGGTTGGCTATCAACGATAGAACGTCTCGACACGACGCTTTATGGCAAGCCGCGGATTAATGACGAGGTATCGGATCAAGCCAGAGTCGAACAGTTAGGGTTAGTAGGGAGCAATGTGGATAGCTATTCGCTAGGGACTCTTTGCAATGCAGCCGAGGGAATGATAGACGCGCGCGCGAACGTCTGGCTGTTACAATGGCTCCCGAGCGAATGCTAGGCGCCCGCGGTCGCCGCCGTCTCTTATATTAGCTCGGTCCGTGCGGCGTGCGGCCGCGCAGCCGTAGGGTTGTCAAAATCTCCGCGCTCGGTGCTAGGGCTGTCGATGCGTCCTGGGGCGCGTCACACATCTATAAGTGTTTGGGGCAGAGGAGGACGTGTGTGAGCGGATGTGAGTGATGATTGGTATTGAGTTGGATGTGAATGCTGGTGGTGATGGCGATGGTGATGGTTGGTATTGAGATGGATGTGAATGCAGTGATGATGGCGATGGTGATGGTTGGTATTGAGATAGATGTGAATGCTGTGGTGATGGTTGGTATTGAGATGGATGTGAATGCTGTGGTGATGGCGATGGTGATGGTTGGTATTGAGATGGATGTGAATGCAGTGATGATGGCGATGGTGATGGTTGGTATTGAGATAGATGTGAATGCTGTGGTGATGGTTGGTATTGAGATGGATGTGACTGCTGTGGTGATGGCGATGGTGATGGATATGAATGCTGTGGTGATGGCGATGGTGATGGTTGGTATTCAGATAGATGTGAATTCTGTGGTGATGGTTGGTACTGAGATGGATGTGAATGCTGTGGTGATGGTTGGTATTGAGATGAATGTGTCTGCTGTGGTGATGGCGATAGAGATGGATGTGAATGCTGTGGTGATGGCGATGGTGATTGTTGGTATAGCGACGGTTGCATTGATGATACAGACTGTTGTGGTGTGTGCAACTGATATTGTAGTACCGGCCTGTTATGTGTTTGGGTTAAGTAGTAACGTGAATTTATGGATATTGAAGTTTCTAAGCTAAGTTCTCCTAATTTTGCATAAAAAAAACAGTTCTCCAATTAATTTCTCACAAATGAGTCTTTGCATTTTTGGTAGCTCCTTAAGCTGGGAGGCCACAGAGTGTCCAAAAGCATCTGCTGAGGTCAATTCCGATGAGCTATTGGCATTCACTAACTGTTTGGCAGACTCTAATAGCTCTTCTTGTTTCTTAAAGATAGCACTTTGTCGTTTAATTGAAGATTTTTCCTTTTTTGTTGCAGGTTCCTGAAACAGAAGATGCTTGGCTACAAATAGCAACAGATTTTGAAAGGAAGTGGCAGTTCAGTCATTGCTTGGGTGCCATTGATGGCAAGCACATCATCATCGAAAAGCCACCACAGTCTGGTTCATTATATTACAACTACAAAGGAACATTCAGTGTAGTTTTACTTGGTATCGTAAATGCCAATTACGAATTTATTTACGTGAATGCAGGCGCAAATGGCAGTGTTTCTGATGGCGGAGTATTTAAACATACAGTTTTTTATGAAAAATTAGTGAATAATCAATTACATTTACCAACACCTTCTGCCTTGCCTACATCGGATCTTATTGCGCCATATTGTTTTGTTGCAGATAACGCATTCGCTATTAATGAAAACCTTTTAAAACCCTACCCACAGAGAAATTTGACACATGACAAAAGAATTTATAACTATAGATTATGCAGGGCTAGAAGAATTGTCGAAAATGCATTCGGTATTTTAGCCGAACGTTTTAGAGTATTTAAAAAACCTATACAAATTAATGTCAAAAATGTACCAAAAGTGGTAATGGCTTCATGCGCATTACACAATTATTTGAGGAAAAAGTCTTGCAACTACATGACAAGGAACTGTGTCGATTTGGAGGACACTGAAAAATACACCTACCGGCCGGGAGATTGGCGACAAAATGACAACACTGTGAGTGTTAATAGAACAGAAAGGCAACGCACTGCAGATGGTAATTCTGTTAGGCAAATATTTACAGAATATTTTAACAATCAAGGGCGTGTTAATTTTCAAGATAGAATGATTAATGTTCTGAATATTTAATGCTTACCTCAATAGATTGATTCTTAGTATTTGTTTCAAAGTTGTCAACCATTTCGGATGTCGGGTTTGTTTCGTGCAGAAAACCCAAATGTTGGTAATACCACAATGTCGGGACATGCAAGTCTTCCACTCCAGCGCCACTAGTTTTGCTAGATTCCACCTAAAAACAAATAACATGCCGAACAAATAATATAGATGTCAAAAAAACCAAGTCTCGCAACTCAGTTGTTCTACGGTAAAAAGTTGTGAGATCCATGTAATACCAAGTCCAGGCCAGGAAATCTTTAACGTTTTACATAAATATATTGACTTGGCCATCGCACTAAATAATTTTATTTACACGTGTTTTCATGCGATGACCAAGTCAATATATTTATGTAAAACGTTAAAGATTTCCTGGCCTGGACTTGGTATTACANGCGTACATCCGCGTAACCAAGTATCGATCACTAATCACGCCCTGATAGTTATTTTGAAAATATATTTCATGTACAGAATTGACCTCTCTACAGATTTATTATAAGTATAGATAATTGTATTCGTCAAAAGGCCTAACCAAACAAGTAAATTATCAAATCCTGGACATCCCACAATATTTATTTATTTACTACACTGACTGTACAGGGATACAAACATACATACATACTCTCGAAACACATTACCCTCCTGCACTCGGGTAAAAAGTAACATACCTTTTGTCATGTCTATGGACGTGTCGTATGACGTTTCCATGGAAACATATTATTGTTTACTAATGAAATGATAGAATATCAGAATACTTTATTATTTATTACCTTTATAATTAAATTCGTCTAAAGGCATAAAGCTAGTGAAGTTTATATAATCCCACTAGTGATCACCAACACTTAATAGTATCAACAACAACAATCAACGAAAACTAAATGGTTTATTTGGCATAACACCTTCGAAGCCCCTTAAAAAGTAGTTTGTTGACAAAATTCTCTTACCGTTTTTGGCGCTCCTTGGTGCGTTTCCAGGCTATTTCATTACTTGGTTTCTTTCTTGCGTCTTTAGGGTTACATTTTTCCACGAACTGAGCTAAATCTTCCATTATTTTGGATCAAAAACAATAAAAAACCGCAGCAACCTTAAGCACGTTTTGAAAAAATCGCCATACTGATTTCGCAGTCACGTGACTAGAATACCGTGCTGCCATTGGTCAATCAACTTTTGGAGGGTTTTGAAAGAAACAGACGGCGTTTTGGCGGAGTTTGTAACACAAATCGAATTTTAAGTGCTAGTTTAGTAGTCTTTTAGCGTATTATGATCGAAAATGATTGAACAGTATGATGAGAAAGTTGCAGTAGCATCATATAGAGATATAAACAGAAATTAGTTGCAGGAGCATTTTAGCGGGTTTTGAAACTAGACGACTCAAATATAAAAGATATTCTTTGAAGAAAACAAACATTTAAAAAAATTAAAACTTAAAAGTGACAATGCTCCAAGGAAACAAATTAAAAAAAAGTTTAAGCAATTTAAAAAACATCAAAGGTCAACGTAAGTGAATAGTAGGTGCAACATAAACCGGGAAACATAATGTCGAGGTACGACTTTCTGTTCCATTAATTTTCGGCGACGGTAAAATCATTTTGATTTCTTTTAAATTAACAATTGCCAAATCAGGTTCCAAAGGCATTCGGAATTTCATATTTTGCTTGTTAAGCAGTCGCAAGAATGAAACATCATAGTCGTCATTGTCGTTCACTTGAATAATCTTAGCTACATAGTAAACTTTGACATTTTTAACATTAAAAAGCGTTAAAACGTAATCATCAATTGCCGGTTTACGGGTTAATTTAGCAAAATTTCCATTTATTACTTAGACCTCTTCTTCATCGCTTTCGTCGATCCCACTAACGTCAGTATCACTCAATTCAGGCACTATTTCAAGCTCATCTTCGGAAGTAGATGGAGTTATATCAACATTTTTACGCTTGTTGTTTTTTATCTTCTTGAGGGCACCTGTTTTGGGAATCACATCTCGTTTAACTTTTTTTTTGGGTTTCTTTTCGTTAAGTCTTCTTTTATTTTCCATAATTTCATTTTTTTCTGGGGTATCAGTTACAATTCGGCTTCTTCCTCTTTTTCTCAATTTTCTGTTTTCCGTCCGTGGGCCAGCTTTAAGAGGCGGCATAAATTGCTTTGGTGAAATAAAAGAGATCTTTTGCATTTTTGATATTGGTGAACTGGAAACGACTTCTTTGTTAGGGTCTGCTGAAGATTTGTCTAAAGGATTGGCTTCAGTAATGTTTTCGGTGGTTTCTATTAGTGATGGACTTTCTGGTTCTTCCTCACAAAATGTATCATCAGACTTCAAAGATACAGTGTCAGCAATATGTTGTTCTTTAGAGGGTATTTCTGGAAATTGGGATTCAGGTTCTGGCCTATCAATTACAGTATTCTGTTCATTTGTGGGTATGTCTGGGTATTGAGGCTCAGGTTCTGGCCTATCGGTCACGTCCGCGGGCATAAAGTCAATATCCGAAAATACGTGTGGGTCGAATGGAAATATGCCACATTTCCTAAAAGCTGATGTTATATTAACCGGAGTCATTGCTCGAGCATATGCAATCCCTACGCATTCAGCAATGTTATAAATTGTTATCGATTTTCCAGGGTGCCGCACCATCCAAGGGTCGATGGCACTGTTGTAGAAAGTTTTAAATGGGGCGTTTAACCCCACATCCTGAGGCTGTATTTTTGCAGTTGTGTGTGGATGCAATGTGAGAATAGTCACTCCTGAATTCTTAGCCAAATCCAAAGTTTCTATGGATAAGTGTGACTCATGATTATCATATATCAATAATGCGGGATTGTCTTTGCTAGCAGCGGTATGCTTGATGAAATGTTTCATGACTTCAACGAATATCACATAAAAAAAAAAATTCAGATGTCATCCATCCTGTTGGATTGGCCAAACCGAGAGAACCCGGGGGAGCACCTGCCAGCATTATATCTTTAAAATGTTTGCGTGGGAAAACAAGAACTGGTGGCAGGGCTTGGCCTGAAGCACATATAATTGCACAAGTGGTGACCAAGACCCCTTTTTCTCCACTAGTTACTCTGGAAATATTGTGTTTGCCTTTAGGCCCAACTACTTTTTGTGGACTTTGAACAGTTGTGGTGGCTGTTTCGACAACCGGTACCAAAAGATGGGTGACGAGATATAGCTGCTCTTAGGTTATCAAAGAAAAATTTTACAGTCTCTCTATTAAATGACGTCACGCGGGCTAAGCTAACAGCCTCGGGCTTTGTAAAGTAAAGACATCACTATTTTGCATTTCTGAACTGTCATTGTCTATGATTGTTTTGTCTATGCCTGTATCGCAAATCGGAAGCCATTAAAACCACAAGTTGTATTTTCCAAAATCAAGTTTTATTTACACATCCCAATGTGCCATGGTGTCAGAAGTAAAACTAAAGTATTCAAGTTAAACAACATAAAATGATAAAGTTGAAAAATGGCCACGAACGACGCAGTATCTGGAATAAAGCCACCATNTGGCGTATAATATAACCGGAGCTATCAAACCGAGCACATCGAACAGGCGGGCCACAACCGAAAGAATATTCCGTTTTGTGCATTTCTCAATACTCTGACATGCCTTAAAATGGAAGGAATCATTTACAGGGTCCCATGAAAGGCCAAGGATCTTAGAGGAGACAATGTTTCCTTCTGAAATGTTTATAGGACTCCGGTGTGACTCAGGGAGATTCTCCAATAAAGTACGAGAGTTACTATACCATTTGACCAAGTCAAATGCACCGGACTTGAATAGCGAGATCAATTCTTGCGCCAAAAAAGCGGCAGTCTTCTCATCAGGAACAGAATGAACGAGATCGTCTNATTTAACACTAAAAGACAGCGAAGAACCGTCTTGCGGTGGCTTCTCATTCGAAGCTGCGCTCCCCGCAGTATGGGTAAGCTGCACGGGTTCGCGACTCACTGCGCGCCATTCCGGGTTCGAGTCCATTGCGGCGGAATGAACCGGTGCGGGCGTGCTCATGTGCACAGCATGCGTATGCGTATTTTTGCGAACATCATCATTCCTAATCTCGAAATGCAAAAGTGTATTATGCTTCTTACCGCACTGCTTGCAAACTGACGTGGATTTGCAATTAGTTAACGTATGCAATGCGCTAAGACAGTTGACACAACTATTTTTGGATTTAATAAAATCAAACTTCGCTTGCGGAGAACTTAAACCTTTGAATTGATTGCAGTTGTAAATTCTATGGTTGCCATCGTTACAATATAAACAAGAGCTGTTATTATTATTTACGTTTGACATAAAAGATTTATATGAAGTCTCAGCTGGTTTGTTCGAGCTGCGTGCGTTCGACTGCGAATTCGAACTATTGAAGTTATTAGAAAGCGTCATAATCTTAGTTTGATCTTGCATGAACTTTATAAAATCATCTGATGTGGGCAACTCCTTATCTCTTACTGAAAATTCAAAGGCGTGAGCTGTTTGCCCATCAACCTTGCGTAGGGCACAATGGAGCAATATAAAATCAGTCAAATCCTCTATACCTAATTGTTTTAGAGCTGCAACCGAAGAGGCATACCGTTGTATGAAATTATCCAAACTTCCCGCAGATGTTGTGCAAGTTTTGGAATCTAAGATGTTGCTTAAGTAATGGATGCCTAATCGACGCTTGTCCTGATATTTCTTTTCCAGACTGTTCCAAAGCACGCGATAGGTATCACCAGTCGGAATTATGCCAGCAGTAATTTTGAGGGCATTATGCGTAAGTTTCCCTACCAGATACTGCACACGCTGCGAGTCAGTCAGCTGGGGATTATGATGTATATTGGCCTTGAAGGATTCATAGAAAACCGGCCATTTTTCCATGCTACCATCAAATGATGGAATGTCAATCGGTGGTAATTTGATATGCATATGCGTTTCAACCGGTTTCGATGACGTGGCTGAAGAGGCACTCATCTTGTTCCTCATCCGTTTGATGCGCGTGTATAAATCCTCAAAAGCTATCATTGGGCTATAATCAGGCACAGCCGATGCGTTTTCTAACAGACTAAATTCGTTTATGCTGTCCACAATAGCCTCAAATTTGGAATGTAATGCGTCAATAGATTCGGACTCGATCATGAAGTGTTCGTTTGACCGAGTATCCACAAATGATGTCACTTTTAAAGAAAGCTCGTAAATGCTGTTCACTTTCTGAAATATCGCGTCTTTTTTTGCGTGAAGAATCTTCAATTTACGTTGAAAATCCTCCATTTTGCGTATTTATTAATTACTAGCTGACCCGGCGAACTTCGTACCGCCTTAGCGTAGAGATTTTCTTAATATTTTTTTCCGTAAGAACCATCCTTGGACTTCCACAAACATTTAAAAAAAAGAATTATCGAAATCGGTTCAGCCGTTCACACGTGATGCCGTGACAACGCGAAACGGGTTTCATTTTTATATATATAGATAAAAGTGCGTAACAAAAAATAAAAATATTAAAATTATTTACGAATATGCGGAATTGCGAATATGCGAACTTGCGAACGTTCGGTCCAAAATTGTACCCAGAATAACCTCAGGTTACTTAACCGTACCTATTGAAATTATAATGCGTAACAATAATGCAATGATCCCGAAAATTATTTGCGATAAAATAAAATTTTATAATCGTAATTTGAAATTTTTTCCAAAGATGTCAGACAGATGTCAAAATTTGGNAAGAGAGAAATTGTTGACAGAAGACAAATTAGACTTGACAAAGGCGATAACTATCTGCAAAACCAGTGAACAAGCTTCAAAACAATTGGACGAGTTCGAAAATAAAAACAAAATAGATAAAGTATCCGTGGTGAAAAATACGACACACTACAAAAGAGAACAAAACAAGAATTTTGACTGTAAAAGATGTGGTACAAACCATAAACGCAGAGAATGTCCAGCNAAAATGCCACATAGATTTTTTTTTATATTTTTCTGATAACCCGCATAACTTGCCTCAACACCCAGTTCCGGCTTGACGTTACATTACGGGACACCCTGTATAGGCTTATTGTATGTTAGTGTAAGGCAGTGGGTCCACAAAATTACGGGGCTTTCGGATTTTATCCGAGATTTCCCTTTTTTCTTCGCTGAGGAGGATGATGCGTGGCACGCATCATCATCCTCCATGTGCCAGGTCAGGGGCGACAGTATTCTGTACACTGCGCGGGGGTTCAGCGAAGGATTCCGCCCTCTGTCTCGCCGCTTCTAATTGCCTACAATGTTTTTTCAAGTCAGCCCACGATTTTATATCAACATTGACCAAGGGGATGGAATAGGATGGCCTAATGTTAAACTTGTGTAGCGTAGGGTCTTCAATAAAAAGAGTGGACTGTATTTTATAGGTGTTTACTGGTAGTTCTTCATGTTATTACAAGAAATCAAGAAATGCAAGGGTGCGCGACGCGCGTTCGCGGAGGGCGGAAGGAAGTCCAAGTGGCGGCTCCCGAGAGCCGCCCCTCCCGCTGCCCGCGCAGACCGCTGTAGTGCTGTGCCCGGCTTCCGGCGCACGTAGTGATGTGGGCAGCAGGAGGGCGAGTCGAGACGATGCGTAGACAACTTGATTAAGCTTAACTTTTCTTCCTCGTCCAAAGGTTTACGCAACTTCGAAAAGTAATTCTGCATAATGCTTAGGTAACTACTTATGGATTCATCAGGACCTTGGGTCCTTGAACGAATCTCCTGCAACAAACGATGATCATAATCGTAGGGTAAATACTCCTCTAATAATGACGCTTTTAAATACTCCCAACTATTTAGTTGGTCACGAGTACCTCGGTACCAATATAAAGCCTCATCGGTGAATAATTCAACCGCTGAGTTGAATAATTTCTCCCTCGAAATATTCCGAGACAGACACAACTCCTCAATTCTAACAATAAAATCCTGCACACTGTCTTTCCCGTTAAACCTCAAATTCAAAGAGTGAACACACGCAAAACAATTCACAGGTTTGACCATTAATGGCTCATTCTCAGCCAAACCAGGGACCCCAGAAACTTCCTCCTCAGCAGGTTGAAAATCATAACTGCTAACGAATGTGTGCGTCATACGGTCGATCCGTTTTAAAAGTGGGATGAGACGCTCATCCAACCGTTCCCACAAAGTCCTATCACTTTCCTCCGTAGCCTCAACACGGCTTAACCTATGGAAGACGTGGTTTCCTAAAGTCTGCACTCTATTTAGCTTTTTGAGTAATAGGGGCTTCCTATTACACAGCTCCTCAAGCTCGTCTATTTTGGAGGAAATAGTTTTCAGCTCAGCCAGCGCATCTCCCTCGAACTCACTCACCTCATCGCTAGGTATATCCTGAGCCAAATGTCTAATCTGAGCACGCAACAACTCTATAGTTCGCTCAGGCACAGCATCACGGATCACAACTTCGTAAATGAGTTCCTCTTTAGTCAAAAGATTAAAACGGATAGGGCGTTCCTCCTTCATATTGACTTTATAAAATGAACTTTCATAAAAAAAGTAAATAAGTTACAATAATTTTAACTAATATTAGTTAAACACTAACACAGCATGATCACACTCAACACAGTATCACAACAGCATCAAAAAAAAAGTTTAAGGTGACCAACCAATCCGTCACTGAGCAATAGACCAGTGCCAGGGAGAACCTCCACGAACCCAACAACGTCCCTGTTCGGGCGCCATGTAAATAAGAAATTTTTGCCGGAGCAAAATAAAAAAAATGATATTTAAATTGACAACAATTTATTGCGGGTGAGACAATAAAACTAGATAAAAAAGGAAGGGATGGGTCGTTGGGCCGTTTGGTTGGTACAGATTAAAAATACTTAAGATTAGCGCGCTATTATCCACCACTCGGCTCAACCCCCTCCGCACCCGTCGGGCGCAGCAAGCGTCTGGCACTGCGGGACAGCCGGTGCCAAACACCTTATAGCCGGTGCCAAACACCTCCTAGTGTACAAAAAAATATATTAAAAAAATATCGATACAGTAAGTGCACCACTGGTGCATTAATACCCTACAGCTTAAACAGGTAATAATAGGCATATTAATACAAAGAAATTAATTTACTTGTGTTCGCTTAGTTAAATTACTACGACACACAAAAAAACAATCCATCGCTCTCAAGGATGGAGCAAATGTGAACACAGCAAAATCCAACGGTAATTCATTACAATGGTAAATCTATTTAGAAAGTAACTTTTTGGTAAAATGTAATCATCGTAATTATTACATCATCTACCTTCACAAAGCGAACTAAAAATAGTTAACACAACAAAATCCATCGACAATACATTACAATGGTAAATTTATTTAGGAATTTACTTTTTGGTAAAATGTAATCATTGTAATTATTACATCATCTATCTTCACAAAGCGAACTAAAAATAGTTAACACAACAAAATCCATCGATAATACATCACAATGGTAAATTTATTTAGGAATTTACTTTTTGGTAAAATGTAATCATTACGTGGGTAATCTACTTTTTCAAAGTAAACTAAAATAATTGACAAGCTCAATAGAAAACGGAACCAACCTATGAAGTAGGGTAGCCCGTGACCGAGTGCCACGTTTCTAATAATTCATTCTAACTCAGCGGAGAGGCGAATGAGTTTGAAAAGAAACCACAACATACCTTCAACGGAGGAAAAAATCCGGCGACAGCCGCTAAAGCAGGACACAGCGCAGAGCTCGCCACCGAGCACTGCCCAACCAAAATCTGTGAATAACAACCACGCGCATTGGTTAACAATGCCGCTAATGCAAACAAGAAAATAACAAGGAGGAATCCTAGGTGATCCTTGGAATAGGACCTGCTTACCTTCAGTAACAGAACTCAGCACGTGGCAGTGAGTCCACAAAATCGGCGAACAGCGGGTTTTCGGTGTTCAACCGGAATTCCCTTATTTTGACCACAACAATATGCGTGCCCTGCCCGTTTGAGTTGGGAATGGCACATTTAAGGCCGACTCAGGATGCCACAACACCACACACTACAAAACTTCTGTTCACGACCGTGGCCAGCAGAGCAAAGGGCACTCCCAAAAAGCGCCGGTCATCACCCGTGACTCAGATCTTCGTTCGAAAACTTGTCACTCCAACAAATCACAATATCAAGCAGTTTTGTATAATTTTTATCTTTACTTTCAATAAATGCTACTTGTGTTAACTANGCTGTATTAAAAAATTGTGCCTAACCTTGAGTCATAGTCAACATGTAAGCAGTAAGTAAAGTAGGTACAACATGATGTTTTCTGTTTATTTACAAAGAAAGGGAGATGTAAAGTAAAGACATCACTATTTTGCATTTCTGAACTGTCATTGTCTATGATTGTTTTGTCTATGCCTGTATCGCAAATCGGAAGCCATTAAAACCACAAGTTGTATTTTCCAAAATCAAGTTTTATTTACACATCCCAATGTGCCAGGCTTCTTTACTGAAATGTCACCATGGCGTTTTTTGAATGAACGGAACCATTCTTTGCCTGCCTTCTTTTCTCTCTCCCAGCTATCAGGAATATTAATGTTGTTCAATTTCGCCATTTGATACGCAATTTTGCGACAGTCGGTCACAGACAGTCCATAATATTTCAAAGCGCATTCATTGATGTATTCTTTGAGGGCTTCTTCTTGTTGATTATTGAAAATCAAATGATTTTCATAATTCGGTGTCAATTTCTTGTTAGCAAGTTCTTCTTCAACTACGTTTAAATTCCGCTTTACATAGCGGCGTAAGGTAGGATAAGCAATGCCATAAGTTTTCGCAGCTTTTCTAATGGATTCGCCAGCTCTATGTAGTTTAAGAGCATTCAGCATGCTTTCCGCTGTGTGCCCGCCCCGTTTTCTTACCAATACTCTATTTCGTGCCATTCTGAAATAAAACGTGAAGCATTATACCTACGCATCCAATTGTAAATCAAAACACCAATTAGGGAGTACACTATGAACCATGGTTCAATGTAGGACAACCAACAGTGGTTCATTGTGGGACACACCAGGTTTTTGAAATAACCTTAAAAAACGAACGACATGCAAGTAGCATTACGCAATGATTTATTAAGGAGATTCAAGCTTGATAATTATACAACTCAAATTAACTATAACAATTTTGATATTTATTTCCGAAAATAAATGAAAAAACAAAGAAAATCAAACAAAAATCTTACTTTTGAGACTATTTTTCGAAGAAACTGTGCGCACTCAGCCACCTTGCACGCTGTCGCCACGCAAACTACTGAGTAAAAGCGGCGTCTATAGATGTCTCTTTTCCTCGCATTAGCACGAAGTGACAACGTTGCATTTTAGAAATATGGCGATGGTTCAATGTAGCTGCCTGGTTCACTGTGAGACATCCGACTATATTTTTTAATTTTGGAAATACAGCATCTATCCAGAATTTCTTAGCATCATTCATGACAGATACAATTTTGTCATCAAACGGCACATTATAAATATCTACTTTTTTGGATTTTTCGAAATCTGGACAGAAAAGTGCCATTTTTCTATTGCTGAAAAACATTTGAAGTTGTACTTGTGCCCAAAATTTAGGTGTTATTTTACTTTCTTTCACATAGGAAGGTATGGTAGCTTCTGTAGAAGGGCATTTCACCTCTACTATGTAATTTTCAGTAAGCCCGTCAGGTGTTGCACCAAAAATAGGATACTCAGCATTAAGAAGTCCAGCTTTACAATTTTAATCTGAAATGCAGAAACAATGATTATAAATTACTACACAAGCCTTGAACGTAACATTATAAATTCTATTATCCAAAATATTTAAATAACAGAAATTAAATGAAAGAAATTCGAGAAAGAGGTCACTCAGTAAATTCAGCTCGGCTGGGCAGCGTTCGGGAAGTTACTGTAGTTGCCGCATACCGGTCTGTGATGATGAATGAAATTACCTTTTCTTTTCCGCTCACTACTTTAAGAACTTCTTTTTCTAGTTTTTTCCCTCTAACCATCGCAATGGAAGTAAATTTTGAAAGTTCTCCCATAATTTTGTTCAGAAGGGAACCAATTTTAGTTCTACAATAAGCGGCTTCATGAAGAGTTGAACCTTGGCCCTCAATAAATCGCAGGCCATCTGTTTCCACGGGCCGCGGAGAAGGCCACCTGTGGGGTCCGAGATTGTTGTGAGTGGCGTCTCCATCGGTGTCGAGTCGACCATGAAGTACCTAGGATTAGTCCTCGACAGCCGGTGGAACTTTAAGGCCCACTTCAAGGCTCTGACCCCAAAACTTTTGAGGGTGTCTGGCGTACTGTGTCGAATAATGCCCAACTTGAGAGGCCCGCATATAGGGTGCCGCCGACTGTTTGCAGGGGTCGTACGATCCATAGCCCTGTCCGGCGCCCCATATGTAAGGGAGTCTCCCTGTGTAGAGACAATATATCGGCACTCAGAAGACCACAACGCACAGTCGCCAAACGGGTGGTCCGAGCGTACTGCACGGTCTCCCGGGAAGCGGCATGCGCCCTCGCGAGTACTCCTCCGTGGGAGCTGGCTACCTAAGTAAACTCCGACAAACTTTACTTCGACATTACGTTACTCCGACATTTCTGAATATCGACATGACTTTACTTCGACACTACACTACTCCGACAAAGGATATTCGCCTTTATCTAAGTAGTGTAGTGTCGAAGTAAAGTCATGTCAATATTCAGTAGTGTCGGAGTAACGTAATGTCGAAGTAACGTTTGTCGGAGTTCAGTTTTTGAGCCGTGGGAGCTCGAGGCCAAGGTGCTGGCGGAAGTATACCACCGAACCGCTGCCGCAAAGCGCAGTTGTTAGGAATTGGGGATAAATAAATGATACCCAGGCTCAGGGAAAGGAAAGCGATATAATAAAAGGATAAAAGGAAGATACAGGAATAGTTACATGATATAGAAGAGACAGCAAGATGACAAGTTGACATATAATAAAATATAAAAGTATAAGTATAAGCAGTGGTAACCCCCCAGCGCCCCGCGAAATTGAGCACTGGCGGGAGAAGGCCCGCGAATGGATTTTGGAAAAGTGGGCAGAATTGTTGGAAGAGCCCAGTGCAGGTCACCGCACAATTGCTGCTCTTCAACCCTACTTAAGAGAGTGGTTGGAGGTGCGCAGGGGTCTCACGTACCGGAGGATGGTGCAGGTGTTGACCGGGCATGGCTGCTTTGGTAAATACCTGCACCGTATCGGCCGCGAGGAATCCGCTGCCTGCCACCACTGCAACAACCCGGAGGATACGGCGGAGCACACACTGATATGCTCCAAATAATTCCCCTATTCGAGGGAGACGCGAGACAATTACCGTTATTTATTAAAAAATGCGAGTACGTACTAAATACATGCAAAGGATCACAGGATCAAAATATATATCTATTTCATGTAGTAACGAATAGATTAGTGGGACCAGCCGCAACTCTGGTTGGAGAAAGGGATAACATCGAGACGTGGGAAGACCTCAAAACCCTATTAGACCAACATTTTGGGGACCTGCGTACCGAAGAATGTCTCTTACTAGAGCTGGAAGCACTTGAGATACAAAGGGGCGAAAGTTATAAAAATTTTTGCCTTCGAATTCAAGACCTGAGGAGCATATTAGTGCCACAACACATGACAGACATAAAATTATGATTACAGCGAAGCAACAGGTTTACCGTAAAATATAGTAAATTACAGAATTTTACGAAAGTATTATTACCGCTTTACATCGCTAATGCATGTGAGATAAACCAGTGCGGCTAATTGCTCTCGTACTATAGTTTGGTCTGCACGATACCTACTCGAGTAGAACATAGCGATAGATGAGTCTCTCCTTCTTTGGAAAGGGAGACTCGTTCTCCCAACTCATCGCCACCAAAGCTGCTCAGGTAGGTATAAAAAGCTACGAGTTATGCGAGTCCCGAACAGGATATGTGTGGAAGATGGAGGTTTACGCAGGAAACGCCACGTTTACGCCACGATGTATCAGAAAGTGTGGACCCGGAAATCGGGATACGGGTAATTTCTTCAACGCCCGAACCCATTACCTGCTGGAGTATATGATCGGTGCCAACAAAAGCCGTCTACGACGCAAATGCGTAATTTGCAAGAAGCTGACACACTTGTCTGCATCGGCACCTGTTTTGCAAGACTCTACTAAATTTTGTAAAAAAATCTCATCAAAAACACAATAGCGAAAAAAAATCAGCTGTTTCATACAACAGTGCAATACCTACTGGGCTGAAATGTATGGAACAGCTGATTTTTTTTTCGCTATTTCTGAGGTGGTCCCATAATGAAAGTGGTTCGTATTCATGAGTAGAATGATATCTGTGAATATGGCAACCTTCTAGGTTTACGCCCTGTATAATTTTCCTAAAAAAATGAAGTACGAAAATAATAAAAAAATATATAATTTCCACCTTTGGTATACTTCTTCTTTCATTTAAGTGGGTGCCACTTGTCGGTGGAGTATCCTCAATAGTATACTAAGTATCTGAATTAGTCATCCAAAATGCATATCCATTTTATGTTAGCCCACCTTGGTATTTTTTGTAGTAAAATTGTACTTTTTTGTAAGTGTGTTTTGAAATATTTTTCTATGAAAACTGGTGGTAGGTTTAATGAATCTAATATTACAAGTTATTCTAGAAAGTGCCTCATAATAGTGTTTAAAGATATCTCAGGGCTATTTTTGCACTGGTTTTCAAGGGTCCTAGTCTTATGGTTATAATTCTTAAAATAAGTGTTTGTAGTTGGTAAAACTTAGTATTTCCCATGTCAATATAGTGTATTTATAATATACAGTACAATTCATCGCATTTGTGCCATGATTAGCTTGTAAGTTACCCCTAAAGTATACCTATTTTTTTGCCTGGCGCTCGAAAGCTCGGTATAGAGCTTGAGAATATCAAGCTCTTCGTGTAAAAAAAGTGTATGGGAGCTGAATTTTTTACATTTAACTATTGTTTCTTGTTGATTGGGTAAGTTAAATAAACGATTATTTCTATGAAAGAACGTTTCATTTATTAAATCATAAGGTTAAATAAAAAGTTGCAATTTTAGCTCAAAATTGTAAAAAATGTAAAGCATCTGCTGGTTAGATTATTCAATAGCGAGCTTGGTTGTTTCAAGACGAACTCGGTGATATAAACAACGTGCCCAAACTCTCAGTAGTTTCTGAGAAATCATTGTTTTTGTAACCCGAGTCGCTCAAGTGGCGGCCGACCCGCCGGGAGCCCCGCAGTCGGCGCCATGACAGTTATTTATATTCCGCAGTCTAAGGGTTAGTTATTGTCTAATCACGGACATTGCCCGCGGGCGGCGTGACCGGAGGGAGCGGCGAGCGTTCGGCGAACGAACGAGCAATGTTGGGTTCGCGAGCGAACATGGATGAAGACGATCCTGACGCACTCTCTTCAACGACATTGTACTAAACAGTCTCAACATCATTGTAAATTTATACTGAATAGACAATTAATTTTATACAGTCCACTCTTCCACTACACTCACTATCGAAGTAACAGTTATTATTTTTATAGCACTCTATTATCAGTCAAAAGTAAGGTTTCAAAAATGATTGTAAAAGTTACTCAATATACCTTTTAATAAATAAATAAATAAATAAATACAGTTTTATCACTTCCCCAGTCTGCATCTGTATAGTAATATTATGTTATTATTAGCTTTAATATTAAAATTTATTAGTTTTATCGGCTTGTCAGTCCTGACTTCTGTAAGTCCTTTGTTAATTGTGTTTTTAAGTACCTTATTCTCTGCCGCAGTATAATACATTATCTTCTCTAAGGGTAGCATTCAAGGATTTCAGAGATGGTTTTTTTTAATTATGTATGTAATACCGAGTAACTTCTTACCACGCCTTTTTGAAATTATTTACTTCCAGCCTTTTCCTACGGCTTTGTTCCGATTTCTTCGGTGATTAAAATTTTTCATGGTCTTTTAATAATTTTCCTTGTTGTACAATTCTGGATACAGTCTTTTCCGATAGTCCAGTAACGTTTGCCACGGTTTTTTTAACGGTATATCTTGTTGATATTCATCAGAATTTGGATCCAGTTTTTTTCTTCTAAAATATTCATAAACGTTAAAAGCTTCCTCGTTGTGGATAAAAAAAAAGCTATTTGCTTGCACTGACTATTAATTTTATGTCCGAAAATCTGTCGACTCATCTTAAAAATGTGTAATCTCATGTATAGCCCTCACAAAGCGTCCGTAACCAATAACACAAGCGATCGCTAGCCGCATCGGCAGCGAAATGAATTTTGAGCCCGCACCCCGTACGGTCCCCGTTTTCGTCACGCCCCTGCGTCCCCGCGTTCCGCAGGCGAGGACTCATTTAACCGGTCATACTATAGATATAACATGTTTGACCTTACAGGAGGCACACTAAAAGCCAGCAAAGAAAAAAAACAGTTCCTACCCTATTAACCCCTGGGGGGTTAACCCTTTTCACCCCATTTTACGGTAGTCAAAATTTCTTTATTTGTATAGTAGACTAATAAATAATAAATAGTACTTACAAATTGTCAAATATTTTGCTCTTAAGGAGCCTCTACATGTCTCATAATCTATTTACCCTGCCTGCGCTTCGAGACCAACATTTGGCAAGTGCTGAGAAGAATCATCGACTCAGTAAATCTTCTAAATTATTCCTAAAGCTACTAGATGAAATTATTAAACTTGAAACTTTGGCAGGTAAAGATCCCGCTTTTTTTGCTTTGTTAATTGTGATGTATGTAGGTTTGTCCAGGTAGATATCTACCAAGAAAGAAGTTGCATAGGTGATATCCGGTCTACTTTTCACTGAAAGGTTAGTAAGGCTGTTACTTCGATAGTGAGTGTAGTGAAAGTTTATAAATGAAAAGAGTGGACTGTATGAAATTAATTATCTATTCGGTATAAATTTACAATAATATCGAGACCGTTTAGTGCAAAGTCGTTGAAGAGAGTGTGTCAGGATCGTCTTCCTAGATGTTCGCTCGCGAACCGAACATTGCTCGTTCGTTCGCCGAACGCTCGCCGCTCCCTCCGGTCACGCCGCCCGCGGGCAATGTCCGTGAGTAGACAAAGGCTTCCAATTAATTATCTGTAGGGTACATTCACTATCTCCTCCTCTTCTTCAGAAATTACCAATTGTTGTTCTCGCTGCATTGGATTGACATTCGAAGCTCTTATGGCCTTTCTTTTTACATTTGTAACATATTATTGTATTGGTTTTGAATGCCATCTGATGGAATTATTGGTTTTGCTCATCCTGTCCTGCACTCCTTAGTTCCTCATCCAGTAATCTTCCTTTCACAAAATCTAATGTCAACTTTTCATTCATTGTATCCAGTGCCGATACCAGTGTTATATTTTTCAGTAAGTCCCAACAAAAGATAGGTAATTTTCTCATCTTCATCAAGTTTCTTGTCTGCATTCTCTAATTCTCTGATTATTGACTCGAATTTCAGGAAATATTCCTCCAATTTTTCATTGTTTTGCAGTTTTAGGGTTAGCAAGTTTTTCCTTATTCGGCTTACGATTGATTTTCTTTCTCTCGAAAATAGAACACAAAATGGCAAACATTTATTTTGTTGTTTTTGCAGCTTTCACCAGATCTAAATGTTTGTCGGTGATGCACTGTACGATTATGGATTTGGCACGCGAATCATTATTTTTATCTACATTAATTTTTAACACCTTTAATATGTAATTGACCTATGTTCCACAAATAAACGAATTTTGATTTGATTTTGATTTGTTACATTTTTGGCGTCCTCGTGCAATGTGTCGATTAAGCCGGGTTGACACGTTACGAGACAGCTCGGACCGAGTCAAGTCCGAGTACACTCGTACGAGTCAGCGTCATACGAGTGTACTCCTATAGTGGTTTACACGTTCATAGTGTACTCTTATCAAAGCTCATTCAATTTTGCACCAATTTTGTGTCAACTCTCGGAAAACACTGATCTGCTCAACATGGAACAGACTGATCTGCTGTTGCAAGGTATCACAGTTGTTGCAGATATACTAATAAAAGAATTGAACAATATAAGCAAAGAAACAAGCAATGTAAGAAGGAAGAAGGAACGAAAGAAGAGATCAATTTGGACCCGCGAATGGATATTAAGGCGTGAAAAGAAGGGAGCATCAGATAATTTTCTCCGAGAAGTACGCTTGGAAGACAAGGCCACTTACAAGAATCATTTGAGGCTGAACGTTCAACAATTTGACTATCTGTTAGAAAAAGTAACGTCGAAAATACAGAGAGCCGATACAGTAATGAGAGCTGCTGTACCTGCAAAAATAAAGCTACAAATAACTTTGCGTTACTTAGCTACTGGAGATAGTTTTCAAAGTTTAGAAAGTTCTTTTCGAGTTCCAAAGAGCACCATATCCAAGTTTCTTCCAGAAGTCCTAGATGCAATATATGAAGGATTGGAGGAGTACATAAAGGTCAGTAATAAGAAATTATAGTGATTTTTTTATTTAATATCAAGCTTTAAAGTAATCTTAATTAAATAATCAGTTAAAGAAATCTTAATTACTGTCCAGCTAAATATGGATAGTTCTCACATTCCACCAATGCTTCGAATTGCTTCTAGTAATGGATCATCTGCTACAACATCGTCACGTTGGATCTGAACTTCGATGCCTTCCTCTTGTAATACATTATTTTCTACAACAAGTTGTGATGATTCTTGCCTTGTTGCGTCACGTTGGATCTGAACTTCGATGCCTTCCTCTTGTAATGCAACATTTTCTACAACAAGTTGTAATGATTCTTGCCTTGTTTCGTCACGTTGAATATGCATCTGAGATTCAAGATTGTCGAATAAATCTTCTGGTATTACCATTGTATAATATTCATCCGATGTAGTAGAATTGTTTTCCGATTGCATTCGATTTATTCTTTTCTGTTTTACTATTTGTAATATTTCAGACTGAACATCTAGAGCATCCACTAGGGGCAATTGTCGGAGCTGACTGGCAATATTTTTAGCGAAAAGGGAGAATTCATCTTCTATTTCTTTATGACACAGTACTTGGTCCTTGATACTATTAAGTGTTTCAATAGACTTCTCAATATGTTGAGGTACTAATGGTCGTTTAAGTGGTCGCTTTTTCTTGAGAACATTTTGTGCCTTAGCGAATATTTCACTATTTGACTGCTGAGAAGATGATGGCGTTTGAAAATCTGCCGGTGGCGAAAGAGGTCCTGGTATGTCCCATGAAGGCTTGGCGAGAATGTCTGGTGAAGGTGAATGTCTGGAGAATGTCTGGTCTGGTGAAGGTGCGGCTGGAACGTCTGGTGAAGGTGCGGCTGGAACGTCTGGTGAAGGTGCGGCAGGAACGTCTGGTGAAGGTGCGGCTGGAACGTCTGGTGAAGGTGCGGCTGGAACGTCTGGATTTGAAGAGCTGTTATCTGAATTCTCCTGGAACAAAACAATAATAGAAAATTAAAAACATGCTTTGTTTTTTTTTTCAGATCCCGAAGACAACTGAAGAATGGACAAATATTTCAAGAGTGTTTGGTAACCGTTGGAACTTTCCTGGATGTTGTGGGGCCCTAGATGGAAAGCACATCAATATACAACAACCAATCGACAGTGGAAGTGACTTTTTTAATTATAAAGGTAAAAGTAATCATCCATCTCGGTTGGCAGAGCAACGAAGAACCAATTATAAAAATTACTTCATTGGAGATGGCTCCGTCCCATGGCAAAGTAGCAGAATATTTTAAGAATATCTGTGACATTATAAAACTACAGCTAATAAATTTAAATACAAATGTTTAAATGTTTTATTAATACTACATAGCTTTCTGTCAGCCCGCTGTTTAATAAGTTTTCCCGTGGGAATAGTGTACCTACTTTTCCGCGGCCTATGTTACTCAGGCAGGATGAAGTTTTTGAGTTTATTCGTTTCAAATAGACACACAAACATAAAAATCTTATAATATTAGTAAGTATAGATAAATAAACTTACCACATTCTGATAAGTTTTCCTGCTTTTTATGACCCCAGATAAAAATCTGTCGGCGATTTCGTACCAAGCCAACGAAGGAACATAAACATCATTAGCTCCTGATCCGGTCCCAGTAGATTTTTTAATTTTTAGTTTTTCCTGGTTGTATGTGCTGCGAATGTTATTTATTTTCGTGTTCACATCTTGAATTGTAATATCCATGTTGAGGTTATGTATAATGCGCTCAATAGCGGCATTTCGGGCATCTTTGATTTTATACTCTTTAAGTCTCACGTTCCACAGCACTTCTTCTTCTTCATACAGTTCCACGAACCTGACAGTATCACGTTCCGACCACTTTTTCCTTGACGCCGCCATTATTTTTAATTAAAATTGTCCGAGCTCAGATCCGAGTGATAGAAAAAATAGAGCAGCGTCCTAGTCCGCTCTGTCATAGTACATTCGTACGAGTGCGCTCGGATTACATGTTTACACGATACGAGTAGCGTCCGAGTAGTAATCCGAGTCCACTCGGTCCGAACTGACTCTTATCGTGTCAACCCAGCTTTAATTGCTTTTCTTCTAGCAGACATCTACAGTCGAATTCTTTAGAACTCAGCAAAAACGTAACGTAAAACGGCCATGTTTAGTTTTTGACAGCCAGTTTGCCAAGAAATCGTAATAGAAGTGGTCGCTCTAGGCAGTGTAAAAAAATATTCCACCAACGAATCCATATTTTCCCAGGTAAGTTAACAATATGTGTTTGACTCTATTGTGTATTAAATTTGTTGATTTATTGTTGTATAAAATGTTAAGTTAGAATCAACAGTAGTTTCATAATTTATTCGTTAATACGTTTTGAAAAAATATTGACGTGGTTACGTTACTTCCATTACGCTACCGTCTCATGAATGGAACTTAAAAGTGACGTAATGGAATTCTAAAGGCCGGTTCACCAGGCTCCCTGCCTGTCCTTCTAATGACAATATTTTTATAATATTGATATTAATGTAACGTATTACCCGTAGGTCGTCTGCGGTGTTTCCGGACGGATACGACCTGCAAGCTTTCAAGAGGAGAGCGTATCTTTACCTTAACGCCTGTAACCTGTAACCTGCACCTGTAACGCCCCTGGGTCTGCGGGTGTCTATGGGCGACGGTAATCATTTACGTTTGCCTCCTATCACATAAAAAAAAAAGTATGTGTTTTGAGTGCTATAGTGTTGAACAAAAAAGCACAAAATATGGAAAAAGGAGACACTTTTTCAGCCTTTGTTTATTTGTTAATTACAAAAAACTGTGAAACGATCTTTAGGTATTTTAAACAAAGGCTTAAAATAAGTTTAGTTATCTACAGGGTGTTAGGTAAATGGGTATAATATGAGCCGACACTAGCCCATGTTAACATGGTCATATAAATGGTATGGTGAAGTCAGAAAATTGATATCTTCATTTTAATAATTTTATTTTTCATACAAATCGGATTTTATAAAATTTATTTTGTATGAAAATCGAAAATTCAGGAAAAAATAGTGAATTTTTATTTGAGAGATGATATTAGCAAAAGTACAGCTGGTATGAAAGAAACCAGAACCAAAGATAAACAAAAATCACAAATTAGGTATTTCAAATCAAATCAGATCAAATATAATTTATTTGCATTAAATAGGGTTTCACAAAGTGGGTATTTAGTTGACACACTGAAAAATATATACGAAATTTATAGAAAAGACGGTGGATCAGCTGGCTTTACAACTTTTTACAGATACAAGCCTTATTATGTTTTGTCTCCAAGTATAAATAAAAGAGAAACCTGTTTATGTATAAAACATAGTAATTTCAAATACAAATAATGCACTGAAATCTAAAGGCGTCATCTCTTACAGTAATATAAAGGAGCTCTTGAACACTGTCGCATGCGATACTACGTTCTATAACTGCATGTACAATAAATGTAAAAATTGCACTCAAAGTATTTTATATGACGAAGAAAAAGCCGATTCTGCTATCACCTGGTATAAATAGGCTAGGGTAACCCATCAGTATGAAAAATCTGGCAAAAGTATTTACAGCTAAACTGTAATGTATTTTTAACTGTAAATATAGCGAACACAGGTCCAATCAATGCCTCCAAGAACACGATTACTTTACACTGTGGCGTAATATTCTGGAAACAACAATCGCAATCATTCGTATCTGTTTTTGATTCCAATTGCTACGAGCCAAATGCCATTTGGGCTCATTTGACACCTGTTATAAAACTTGCTAAAGAAATGAACCCTGAAATCAAGGTTATAACACTTTTTTTCAGACGGCCCAAGTAGCCAGTACCGCCAAAAAAAAAACTTTTATCTTTTTAGTTTATTTATCCCAAAATTGAAACTGTCACATTCTACGTGGTCATTTTCCGAGTCCGGACACGGTAAAAGAGGTGCCGTTAAGAGGCAATGAGGATAATTTCGATTTTTAGCTGTGAATGCAGATTTATAGGGCTAAGAAATCCTTAATACACTGTCCAAAAATTTTAATTCTACGACAAAAATTGACGAAGTTATGGCCAAATTACTAAAAAAGTTCACTGACCGCCCGGCGCGGGGACGATGACGTCACTATATTGTAACGTTGCCGTTTGCTGTTTTTTCACAAATTAATATTTCTTCTCAATATTCTGATTTTGGATACCACTAGCGACATCTATTGGCGTGATTTAGAATTAATTTGCAATAGATGGCGCTTTTTGCTCAGTTAATTGAAATATACTTTGATGAAACATTTCCTAGTGTTTTTATATTGATTATTCTATTTTTCAAATAGAATATTTTCAGTGTTCTGGAAATTGTTTTCATCATGGTTTTATTAGTACAGTATTTACTTTTTCAAACGGCGAAACGAAACGTATCGCGATGTCTATGACAGAGCGGCTGTCAGTGGAGCTGTCAAATGACTTAGGAATTTGTCGATCGTGCGCAACCGCAATTTGATTATTTTCGGGAATGTAATTCCTTTTATTTCAAATCGGGTGGTGCAAAATGCATCCACGATAATTTCTTGATGAATAAATAAAAATAACACACATGAGGTAAGTTCCCGTCGGAGAATTTATTTATTTTTCGTGATTGATATTTTTCGTATTCCAGTACGTGGTTATTTCATGTGATCGTTTCTTTCAGATACAAAACATTTTTCGCGAATCGGTGTTCATACATTCACACAATACATTAGACGCCATGTTGTCATAAACGACATATTATAAAATCGCTGTGATTTAATATTCTTAATCATTAATTTTATGGCAAGTGTCCATCAGGAATCATTGTTCTTACACACAGAATCGTATTATTTCGCTTTCGGGTAGTAATATGTCAAAATTGTTGGTTCTTTAGGCGAACAATGTATGGAGAACGAACATTGTCCTTTCCTGCTGCATTAAAATTAGCAGCGGTTCAATAAACTATGTGTATTGTTTATTGCAGTTGATGCAACCATGGACCTATAAAAAAAGGCGGACGGAACTCGCGCTACAACAAAACTGTGACGCAAAATTTTGGCGTTTGTCTATTGTGTGAGTAAATTTAGGGATGCCATGTTAGCCAAAACATTTTACCCATTTATTTTAAGAAAAACATAGATCGGCAGATGTTACTTGGAAATGTAGACAGAATTATTCCGTGCCATTTTAAAAGGATGAAAGGTGTATGCGTTGAGGTAGGCGCGAAATTTTCAATGTTCAAATTTTCTTACATTGTTTGCAAGTCAGTGTGTCAGGGTATGTACATAATGTTGATCAAAAATGATTCACGCAGTTACAAATTACGAATCTTGTGTACATTATAATCATAATCTTATGCATCATCAATATATTATTATTATCTCTGATAGATTTTTTTTAACATACAACCTGACACTGACTTGCAATCAATGTAAGAAAATTTGAATTTCGCAGTTCCACATTTTTGGGAAGGATCAAATTTGCCTATGAAAATATATCCCATTAAAACACAATTATTATGATAAATTATTTTATTTCCATAGTATGCGTAATACATAACTAAAAAGTCCTAAAATCATTATTAATTTCCCATATTTCGGGTAATTTTCCCACGTAAATAACTGAGAACACTGGTCTTTGACGTATTATTTTTTCGAGTGAATGACGTTTGATTTCAATTAATTTCAATATTTTAATGTCGGGAAATAAGTGATTGGATTATTATTTTGCCTGTGAAATGTGATTCCTTAATTTTTGTTTGTTCGAACAGAACGGTTTTTACACAATTTCATCACACAAGACATGTCGTATTCGTGTTGTTTTTTCGCTGCTTAAATGTGTCAACTGTGTGAAGTTTGCACTCGAAGTGGTGTAACAGGGTGTGAATGTGTGCGTGCCGGCCTGTACGTACAGGCAAGCTGGTGTATCCTAATGTCACAGTATTTTGTTGATGAGAATCCGTCCGACTTTTTTTATAGGTCCATGGATGCAACAATAAAAGTAAAAAAAAAAACAGTAAAGACAGTGAAGTCAAATAACTACGTCCATATAATTTAACACGTTACCACAATGTGTGACAAACTTGAGCTTTAAATACGAAGAAACAAAACAGGAATTCGCATATTGCTATTAAGGGAGGTATTTATTTGTATTCAACGTCGATAAAACGGATTAATTGATTTTAGTAAAATTCATGGATAAATTTAGCATCTTATTTTCATTCGTTACACTCTTGGCAGGGCGGTCGAAGTTATCAGGAGTTTGATTTTTTGTGCGCCTTTCGCCTTTGACATAACAATTGTTATGGTAGTTATCAATTATTACAAACATTGGTATAAATAATCTGATCAAATTTTGTGTAAGAAATCAACAATTCAACTTTCGTATTAAAAATCAGCCACGGATCCGCTATAGGAGTTTAATTGCCATCGTTTAAGAGCCATCGAAGATAAAATTGAAGACAATGCCAGCACAATGGTTCACGCCTTTATTCAAACAGGTAAGTTAATATTTCTTTGACTACTTATAATTCCAACACAATGTTCCGTGTTAAAGGTATCTTTTCAAAGTTTTACTATTTTTATAATTTATGCTACTTGGAATTCGTCTTCGTTATTCGTTCTTCTGTTGATAGAGATTTTTCATGTTTTTTTAGCTTTAAGAATAATTTCGTTGCGCGGCCACAGATCTAACAGAGTAAATATTAGGAAAATACAATATAATGTTTTAAAGTCTAATTTCGATTTGGATCCTTCTGACGAGTGCGTCAACGAATATTTGGCACCCAAAAATGCTATACAGGGTCCTTCTAAACTAGCTACATTCCTTTTAATGGGGGCATCTATACGGTACACTGAACAAGTTCACCAAATTTGAGTATGTGTTTTATAATGATTTTACAAAGTTACATTTTCTAACAAAAATAAAAATTCATTTCGTCTTACATAATGGAACATGCTGTATTTTTTACTCACACAACAAAGCTGTAGTGTATTCATTCTGCACAGGAACACGAGACACAACACACACAACGCTCACTACCACTGCACACTTTTTTGTTGTTTACACTCACGTCATAACAACTCACAGCAGTCGTCACAGCTGATAGCCGATTAGCTGATCGACTGATTGGGCGAGCTATCACTTTAATGTTGCAGGCCTACTCTCATATCGTTGTCTATCCTTATTATCTTATGTTAATCACAGTAAAACGGACTCACGATACCATCGAAAAATCAATCAGCAAAGGCCATGATTTTTAAGGCGCGTCTTAGTAAATTTATTTGCATTTGTGCATCTGTGCGTCATAGTTCACTTCACGAGCACTACAAAACGCACCTTCACACAAGAAAGCTAATCAAAAACTGAATTAAATCAAAGCGCACGCGCCGACAAATGCCGACAAGCCGCACGCCTTTTGTTGACACAAAGACGCCGACGCCGCCAAAGCAAGAGCCGAAAAGTTGGCATAAGCGTACAGTCGACGACAAAAAAGAAACTTATTTGTTTATTATTTTATCTGCTTGCTTTCGATTTCAATTGATTCGAATCTAAATTGTGGTGTTGAGTATTTCATGGTAAAATATCCTATAACAGATAATAATTAAAAATTAATCGAACTTATTGTTTTGTGAAGGTAATTCAATGGCCTAGTCAATTATTTAGAAACATTAAATTAGACTATTGAAGCAAATAAAACTCTTCAATTTGTTTGTATTGATATTCCATTTATCCTAAATCAAAGTCCATTCTTAAATTAATCGTTAATGTCATCATTTCTATTACAATAGAAAAGTAGATGAGGTAGGTAGGTACCTAATTAGTTAAATAAAATTTCCGAATCATTTCCGTTCCAACTTGGTATTTATTTATGACCTATCTTATGTACCTGTGATTTAACAATAAACACAATTTTAATTTGAATAGTAAAAAAAAGTTTGTTGCATTTCTTAATTTTATTTTGGTGAGTGTACATTGCGCTAGCCGGCGGCCGGCGGCACGTGTCTAAAGGCGGCGGCACGTGTCTAAAAGTTCGTTTGCTGCGCGCCGGCTAGTGTTGTACGATACGACACTCGAGTCTTGGAATCTTACTTATTAAAAGTTTGAAGAAAATAAAATAGCTATGAATTAAGACTGTGTGTTTATTATTTTATTGGACCGTTTTAACTTTTTGATTACGAAAATCGTCAGTCTTTAGATGGATACTTCTGATTCGATTATTTGCGTTTAATGCAATTTTATTGATATTACATTTGTATTGTGCGATTTATTTTATTTTCAATTAGGATATAACATACGGATGATGATATGAAATCACTCATTATTGCCTATTAGTATACACCAACTCAAGTTCATGTCATGATTCAGTCTAGCTCAAAGAACTTAAAATACTCGAAAGGACTCGGAAGACTCAATTATTCCCTTATTCATGTGACTAACGAGTCCTAGTCTTAAAAATAAACTCAAGTCTCAAAATAAAGACTTTAATTAAAGACTCGAGGTTCTTACAACACTAGCGCGGTCGGCTATTGTGAGGGACGGCTGTCTTTGATACCACCGACTCCGCCACGCATAAATAAGGATGTCAACTCCAAAATTCTTTCTAATCTTAATAATAATAAAACTATCATTATTTACTTTTATAATTTTTTTTTGTTTCTACGATGATTTTAATGATTATTATTTCAGTTTAAAATTGATAGTTGGGAACAATTATTTACTTATTTACTTCGGAATACTAAAGACTGCGAATAATCACAGGTAGATAATTCGATAGCGTTTAGTTTCTGCTATGATCGAGTCAATTACGAATCACATTTTTATTTAATTTGCTAAGGGGATATTAAGCGATTAAAATTAACATGAAAAATGTGCCTGCTTTATCGTAATAATAACCGTAATTCTAAATTTCATAGTCATGGTAACTATCCCATTTGTGTATGGCATAAAAATAAGTCATTGATTTCGGCAACTAACTTTTTTGCTTCGTTTCGTTGCTACGTTTGAAATAAAAGATTTTTACAAGCGCAAAAGTATTTTAACGAACTTTTGAATAAACATCATTCCATTAAGGCCACTAAATAAGTACTTACCACATAAGATTTTTTTATGTTACCAAAAATAAATAAACTTTAATTTTCTGCTTAATTTAATTCCTTAAATAACTAGTAGTAGCCCTAGAATAGCTTGTGTGGCGCCCGGTCCGTCGTCAGGCGGCACTCTTGTGTTCGCGGCCAGTGGCCCAACGGCCGCACAAGCGCAATGGCGGCCATTACGTAAGCTCGTGTGCGTGCGGATTTTTGTCAGTGTAGTAGTGAATCAGCTGAACAGGGTGTTGTATTGGGTTGATAAGAAATGAAGTTGTTTCCTTAATTATCTCGGAAACTAGCCTGAATTTTTGGCTCAAACTTTGGGAACGTATTCAGTGTGACGTATACATGCTCCCATTAAACGGAACGTAGCTGATTTAGAAGGACCCTATATACCTACCTACTCTATAATTTGTAGTGTTTCCTAACATCGGGTGTGTCCCTGAACTTCCTAACACATGGCATGGTCGTGGGATTCTCTTCAGTACTCCTTCCCCAGCTAAGGGAAACGACCGATATTGACGAAGCGTCGGCGACATGGATCGGTAAGTAAATGGTTAGATACTGTCCAGTCTGAATTTATGTAACGACAGAGAAACAGTTTGACATCGAAAACCCTTCAAACTTAAAATCTGCTTCCTTTGTTTCAGCGTCCATATTCGGATTATCTCTCATAGTAGGAGCATTGTTGGTCTCATTCCTTATGAACTCATACGGCCGAAAACCTGTCAATATCGCCAGCGCTGCGTTCATGACCGTAGAATGGCTTATCATCAGCGCATCCGAGAGTGCACCCAGCCTTTTATTCGCAAGATGCCTCCAAGGGTTCTCCATGGGCCTGCTAGCTAATATGGGCAACGTCCTCATTGGAGAATGTTGCAGTCCCAAAAATCGCGGCGCTCTTTTGACAACTATATCTTTCGCAATCATGTTTGGCGTTTTCCTGGTTCACTGTTTAGGAGCCATCGTCTCGTGGCAGAGAGTTGCTCTGATAGCAGCTTTTATAGCGGTTGCAGACTTAACAATAATAATTATATCACCAGAATCGCCAAGCTTTTATGCTATCAAGGGAAAGTACGACGAGTGTCGGAAAGCGTTCCATTGGCTACGAGGTCTTTCAGAAGAGGAGGAATTGGAGAAGCTTATAAAAATAAATATGGCAAGGAGATCAAATGAAGCTATTAGTTCCCATGAAAGCTTATTAGATAAAGTTAAAAAGAACATAGCTTACATTAAAACCACATTCAGGAAACGAGAAGTTTATAAACCAATACTTATTATGATGCACATGTAGGTATAGTATGACCGCATGGTCTGGTGGCATCACGTTTTTTACATACGCAAAAGATGTTATTGACATTATACTAGGTAAATATACTAGGTAAAAATAATAATTTCCCAGCCATAATTGTGTCAATAAATATTCTGATGGTGGTATCGAGTGCGGTGGCAATTTTAGTTATTAAGAGGCTCCGTAGAAAACTGGTCCTCACAGTGACGATGTCCGCTAATTTGATATTTTACGTCAGCATCGCTCTATATGTTTACCTGAAGACACACGACTTGTTGAGTTTCGACCATCTTTTTATAGGGCTGGCATTGGTCCACATGCATATGGTAACAGTAGTGGTGGGTGCCATATCCCTTCCGAATATAATAGACGGAGAAATATTTCCTTTGGAACACAGAGGTCTCTGTGGATTGATAGGGATTTTATTCTTCTCAATGAATGAGACTGTCAATATTAAGTCGGCGCGATATTTGTTCGCTAGTATAGGAGTGGAGGGGGCGTACTTGTTATATGGCGTATTGTTTTACAATAGTGGTGATTTTATTACCAGAAACAAAAGACAGAAGTATAATAGACATAGAAGAGGAGTTCAAAGGTAAACCGCTGGTTAATGAACTTCAATTAATGGAAAGCAAATGCGAAGAAGAAGATTAGATAGAATTAAGAATAATAGATTAGGTAGGTTAATTTTAAAACAAGAATGTAATAACAACAGAGTATCTACGCTTCTGTCTACTAAGGCGGTTATCACACTGCGCCGCGCTCCGCCGCGGAGCGCGTGATTTCATATAAAAAATCACAAGTTGGTACATGTTGGGAAACACTGTCCAAGACTGTTTGCAAGATAACATTGCTGTACCGTTGTACTGTAATTAAGCACAGGCATTAAATTATGAGTATGACTTACCATGCTGAACTCGTTAGCAGTAAGTATTGTTTTATTGCAGTTGGCAGAACAATAAAAAATTAAATAAACCAGACTAAACCACACAACGACGAAGTGAAATATTGATTGTAATCGTGTCTTTAGTAAAACTTACTAATATCGATAATAATATCGATTCTTGTGAATAAAAATTCAAATCAAATTAGTTTATTAATCACATTTTGAGTTTAAAAAAATCAGCCATGGATTCATTACAGGGGTTGATTGATGTAAGCCATCGAAGATAAAATTGAAAGCAATGCCAGCACAATGGTTCACGCCTTTATTTAAACAGGTAAAGATCATAATCATAATAATAAATTCTCACTTTGACTATCATTCCAACTTAATGTTTCGTGTTAAAGATGTCTCTTTCAAAGTTTTACTATTTTTATCATAAATGCTATACTAAGTTTCAAATTCGTCCTACTCATTTCTGCTTTTGCTGATAGAGACTAAAAATGCTTCTGAATAACTTCTACCTAAGTATGCGGTTTTTCGAGGTCGCAGACGGTAGGTATCAAATAAGCAGTGGGGTTTCAAAACCAATAGGCATGCGCAAAATATTAGTCATGTTATTCGATTCGACGATAAATAAAATACCATTTAACAGTTGCATCAATGAATATTGAATATTCTTCAGGGTCCTCAAACCTGCTACTATACTCAAATACTGCATTGGATAAACCAGGTGTATCACTCTGATTCCAATATTTGCAGTGTTTCCTGACGTCGGGCGTGTCCCTCAACTTCCTCGCACATGGCGTGGTCATGGGGTTCTCTTCAGTGCTCTTACCACAGCTGAGAGAAACGACCGACATTGACGAAGCGTCGGCGACATGGATCGGTAAGTGAATGGATAGATCCCACCTAGTCGAATATGTAATGACAGAGGGATAGTCCGACAACTATTCAAAATTAAAATCTGCTTCCTTTGTTTCAGCGTCCATATTCGGATTATCCCTCATAGTAGGAGCATTGTTGGTCACAGTCGTCATGAACTCATACGGCCGAAAACCTGTCAATATCGCCAGCGCTGCGTTCATGACCGTAGGATGGCTCATCATCAGCGCATCCGAGAGTGCACCCAGCCTTTTATTCGCAAGATGCCTCCAAGGGTTCTCCATGGGCCTGTTGGCCAATATGGGCAACGTCCTCATTGGAGAATGTTGCAGTCCCAAAAATCGAGGCGCTCTCTTGACAACTATATCTTTAGCAATCATGTTTGGCGTTTTCCTGGTTCACTTTTTAGGAACCATCGTCTCGTGGCAGAGGGTTGCCCTGATAGCAGCTTTCATAGCATTTGCAGACTTGATAATAATAATTTTATCACCAGAATCGCCGAGTTTTTATGCAATCAAGGGAAAGTACGACGAGTGTCGGAAAGCGTTCCATTGGCTACGAGGTCTTTCAGAAGAGGAGGAATTGGAGAAGCTTATAAAAATGAACATGGCCAGGACATCAAACGAGGCTAATAATGCCAACAAGAGCATTTCAGATAAAGTCAAAAGGAATCTAGATTATCTTAAAACAACTTTGAGCAAACGAGAAGTTTATATACCGGTTATTATAATGATGCATATGTACGGGATCGCCCAATGGTCTGGTGCCGTCACATTTGACACATACGCGAAAGATATTCTTGATGTTGTGTTGGGCAAAGATATCAATTTCCCGGCCATAATAGTATCATTGGATATTCAGAGGCTTGTGTCGAATGCACTAATAATTGTAGCTATTAAAAAGATGAGAAGAAAGTTGGTGCTTTCAGTGACAATATCGGCCAATGTTATATCGTACGTCAGCATCGCTTTGTACGTTTATCTGAAGACTCATGGCTTGATGGGATTTGACCACCTTTTCATAGGATTGACTTTGGTTCATATCCATATGTTTACGGTGGTTGTGGGTGCCGTACCCCTCCCGAATATAATAGCTGGAGAAATCTTCCCTTTGGAACACAGAGGTCTCTGCGGATTGATAGGAATTTTATTCTTCTCAATCAATGAGACTATCAATATTAAGTCAGCGCGATATTTGTTCGCTAGTATAGGAGTGGAAGGCGCTTACTTGTTGTATGCAGTGTTGGTGGCGTATTGCTTGACGGTAGCGTGGATCTTATTACCAGAGACTAAAGACCGAGTTTTGATTGACATTGAGGAGGAGTTCAGAGGTGAACCGCTGATTACTGCGGGGTTACTCCGAAAATCGTTATCCAAAGATTCGAATGTTGTCGTCCCTCTCACGCAAAGCGAGATGCCAGAATGAGCGACGGTGACGTAGTCCCGAAAAACTCTACGTAAACAGTCTTTCGGAGTAGCCCTGATGAAGTTAAATTAATGCAAAGCAAGAAGAAGAAATAGTATCTTTGAAATTTATTTGATTTTGTCAGCTAAATAGTTTACAGCTAGGGCAGTCAAAAACTTAAAATTGTGTAAAAATAGTTTAATCCGGTCAAAGAACATTTTTGCTTATAAATAAGTTTAATTTGTTTAAATATTGATTAATTACAATATTATTGAAAAATATATTGTTAAGCATTATTTAGATAGCTGCTCAAATACAGCCTACATAAATACAATTTAATAAACAAAGGTATTCAGTTATTTTTAGAAGTTAAATAAACCGCTACATAGCGGTTATATGTATTTTATTTGTATATTGTATTTAACTTTACCTAATTATTATCTTTATAATTATCTCTATACATAATGTTAATTGGGTAGAAATGTAAAAAAAAACGTTTATTTCATTAACTTCAATAATAAGAAAGTGTGATGAAATAAATAAGTTATGATTAAAAAATAAACTATAGATATAAAAGGAAGAATCACATTGTTATATTACTGTACACATGTTACATAGTATATCTACGTCATATTATAAAATAATTATCTTTGGTTGTGTTCAATAATAAAATAAATAAACATTATTCTGCTAAAGCATTTGGAATGTGGAATAATACTTCATTAATTATAAATTAATTGGTTTACATTTTCACTAATAAATTATATAACACGTAAGTAATAGAAAACAAATAAAATAATATGATGTTTGTTGATATTAAATCATCGGATAGTACTAATTGCAAGTATCATAAATTCATATTAGTAGATGTTTCTTTGTTTGTTTAGAGTAAAGTTTGCTTTAGTTGTAAAAATATCTGTTTAATTTAAATAAAGATGTAAGTTGATGTTGGTTTCTAATATAGGTAAATTAATATTTTTTGTTTATTGACACATCAATTAAATTATACCGCAAAAAACAATATTTAATTTTGCGAGTAACGAATATTCGATCAAGTTGCGCAAATACAAGCTCTTGATTTTTCGTATTAGAATAATAATACCTTATAAATCGACGCAAAGTCAAGCACATTTTATTTCATTTAGCCTTTTTCTATGCAAATGAGTATTTATACGCAAATATAATCTAGAATAAATAAAATATAATAATAATAAATAACCACAAACACCATTTTCCCCTTATAGTATACCCACAAAAAAACAAGTCTACAGGGTGTTAGGTAAATGGGTATATGAGCCGACACAAGCCTATGTTAACATGGGCATATAAATGGTATGGTGAAGTCAGAAATTTGATATCATCATTTAATTTTTTTAAATTTTCATAAAATTAAATAATTAAAATGAAGATATCAATTTTCTGACTTCACCATACCATTTATTTTTTATTTATATCATCATTTATTTTTTTTAAATTTTCATAAAAAATAAATTTTATAAAATCCGATTTGTATGAAAATTTAATAATTAAAATGAAGATATCAATTTTCTGACTTCATCATACCATTTATATGCCCATGTTAACATGGGCTAGTGTTGGCCCATATACCCATTTACCTAACACCTTGTATACTACATACATACTGATTTACTAGAACTACTACTACAGTTAAATAAAAAATAAATAACTAAAAAAAGCGGAAATACAGATACTTACATATTTATTTACATAAATATTTTACTGACGATTTTTTTTATCTATTTTTTATTCTCTCACGTTTATTGAAATATTTATTTCATACAGGATATAAAAAGATATAGGTCAGCAAAACATTCAAAATAGTGTGTACAGATCACGCTCGAAAAACCGAAATCCATCTCAAGAATTCACGACTTTCCTAGACTGACACCCTGTATGAAAATCTCAATAGTGGAATTTTATATCGGTTAAAATAAGAGATAGCTAAAATAAATAATAAGTTAAGAAACCAAACCATTATAACCCTGTGTTACGTATCACACACGGTCACTGTGGCAGTGCCTGGTTTTTCATGCGAGATTTCTTCTTTACCAGGGTTGGGGCAGTCGAAGTTCTTACAAAGTGACGCGACCTGGAAAGAAAAATAAAAGATGTATTATAACATTACTTTATAATTATTTTAATCACTCACAGTATAGGTGGTACTTCTACCACAGATTACTTCGTCTGCTACTTTCTATGTTTCAGTCAATATTATTTTTGACAAGATAGGATAATTATCAAAACACACAGCTATACAGGGTGACTGGTATTTAGGGGAGGAGCCGTTAAGGGGAAGTAGTCTAGGGTTATTCTGACAGACAACCCTATGAGACGGTGTTTTAGAGACGTCAAATGGCAGCGAGACACCTAATGTGCTTCAGATTTCTATGCTCTATCACGTCATAATAATTATGTCAATGTCGTCCCTCCCGTGCCGCTCTCATACAGTCATTGGCCGAGTTAAGCGCTATAACTGTAATATTCACAGATAATTTCATTTTATAAAAAACTCATAAAACTCATTTATTTCTGTAAATAGGCTTTAAAAAAGCACTTTTACACGTCCCAGTATTAACCCTACCACTGCTTCAGGACAATAAATGGGCCAGTGCTGAGAAGAAGCAGCGCAAGAAACTCAGACACTATTGTCAGCCTCTTTTTTCATAGGTTTTTTCTTTCTTTCTTTTCAGCCAAATGACGTCCACTGCTGGACAAAGGCCTCCCCCAAGGTTTTCCACAATGAACGGTCCTGCGCTGCCCGCATCCAGGCTCTTCCCGCGACCTTTACCAGATCGTCGGTCCACCTAGTAGGAGGCCTGCCCACGCTACGTCTTCCAGCCCGTGGTCGCCACTCGAGAACCTTCCTGCCCCAACGGCCATATTATCTCTACGAGCTATGTGCCCCGCCCACTGCCACTTAATTTTAGCAATTCTGCGAGCTATGTCGGTTACTTTGGTTCTCCTGCGGATCTCCTCATTTCTGATTCGATCACGCAGGGAAACTCCGAGCATAGCCCGCTCCATCGCCCTTTGGGTGACCTTGAGCCTTCTTATGAGGCCCATAGTAAGCGAGGCATAGGTTTACAGGCTTTGAAAATACATAGTTATAAATATTTATGCGAACAAGGCAGTTACGCACGCATCCCAAACATTTTGTGTTTAATTGTGTTTGTGGTAATTAATTAATACTCACAGTGTAAAACAGTATAGGGACTCCCAAAGCGGCCCCTGCTAGTACGTCCCACCAGTGGTGCCTGTGGTCCGTAATCCTGGATATCGCACAGTACACCGCGCTCACTATACTTAGTACTTGCGCGCAGAGTATAGCGCGCGATCGAACTAGGCGTTTCGTTCTTTGATGGAGGTAGTACTGTGAAGAATGATGAAATAATATAAATCCCAACTAATATTATAAATGCGAAAGTAACTCTGTCTGTCTGTCTGTCTGTTACGCTTTCCCGCTTAAACCTCGCAACCGATTTTGATGAAATTTGGCATAGAGATAGTTTGAGTCCCGGGAAAGAACATAGGATAGTTTTTATCCCGGTTTTTGAAACAGGGACGCGCGCGATAAAGTTTTTCTGTGACAGACAAAATTCCACGCGGGCGAAGCCGCGGGCGGAAAGCTAGTAACTTAATAAATAACGCGCCACTGGAGTGTTGTGGTGAAACCAGTCATAACAAGCAGTTTAGTTTACTACAGTGAATAGGTTTGTATTGTACAGGATATTATTAAACTAGCTTTCCGCCTGCTGCTTCGCCCGCGTGGAATTTTGTCTGTCACAGAAAACTTTATAGCGCGCGTCCCTGTTTCAAAAACCGGGATAAAAACTGTCCTATGACCTTTCCCGGGACTCACTTTGCCAAATTTCATCAAAATCGGTTCGGTGGTTTAGGCGTGAAAGAGAGACAGACAGACAGAGTTACACAAATACTTACACTACTCTTTCTACAAATACTTACAGCTATAAAAAACCCGGTGTGTAGAGCAAGGGAGGTGTGGCCTGAAGGAAAGCTTTTATCTGACTGACGTAGCCAGTGAGTTTTCAGACAAGTGTAGCTTGACACATATTCTGACCTGAAATTAAGAAATAGTCTATTTAAATTTATTATCATTATTATATGGGTTGCATTGCAGCAACTTAGGGCATAGTTCTGGTGTAAAATTTGATGCAAAACAAAGGGCATCATCCATTTTGGTCCAAAATCAAAAGTGCCGGCCAAAAAATAAAAGTGCTGTATTCTGATAGAATACGTCCGCCTTAGCATTTATTACTATGGCACCAAAGCTGTAGCACCACTGTGCATCGTAGTATTTGAGTTCTAAAAATATATGAAACGACTGACGAATACTACGACGCACAGTGGTGCTACAGCTTTGGTGTCATAGTAACAAATGCTAAGGCGGACGTATTCTGTCAGAATACAGCACCTGTTTTTTTTTGGCCGACATTTATATTTTGAACAAAAAATGTATGAATCGTCGATGAATTTTAGATCTCAAATACTGGACGCACAGTGGTGCTACAGCTTTGGTGTCATAGTAACAAATGCTAAGGCGGACGTATTCTGTCAGAATACAGCACTTTTTTTTATTGGCCGACACTTTTGATTTTGAACAAAAAATGTATGAATAGAATAGTCGATGACTTTTAGATCTCAAATACTCGACGCACAGTGGAGCTACGGCTTTGGTGCCATAGTAACAAATGCTAAGGCAGACGTATTCTGTCAGAATACAGCACTTTTTTTTGTTGGCCGGCACTTTTGATTTTGGACCAAAAATATATGAAACGTGGATGATGTCCTTTCTTTTGCTACCACAAGTTTTATTCAAATCTGCAGTCAAACTAACCAAAGAACACAAATTAAAATACAAATTGAGACACATCTATAAATAGTATAATAATGCTGTGTAATTTATTAAACAAATATATAGGGTGTAAGGCAGATATAGATATTTTTGAGCTGAGCACAGCCTAAACGGCTAAACGTAGGCACTTGAAATTTGGAAGGGACGTAGCTTAGGTACCGTAGAGGTGCACTAAGAAAGGAGTTCCCGAAATTCCCACGGGAACGGGAATTAGCGGGAAAATCCTTTTGTATGAAAAATCTAAACCACTTAAGTTAGACGCTTGAAATTTGGCATGCAGGTACCTTAGTAAACTTAAAGCTTAGTTACAACAGGATATTGCAAAATTCCCACGGGAACGGGAGATAGCGGGAAAAAACCTTTGTATGAAAATATCTAAACCGCGTAAGATAGATGAAGGGGGTAAAACGGGATCCATGCGTACGAAGTCGCGGGCGGCCGCTAGTATTGTATATTTTTGAGCTGATGGAGGACATTTTATACAATTCCATTGTGACTCAAAAGATGGTGAAGCATGTAACAAGAAAAAACACATTTAAAAAAACATACCCGGTACAAGTGCCAGCCTCTTGCGGATTGCAAGTGTCAAAGAAGTCTGGTCTAGGTTCCCCTACGAGGATCTTCAACAACTGCACCACCATTAAGTTGATCAGCACACCATACATGTATTCTTTGTACCAGCACAACGCTTGTTCCTTTGACCGTCCTGCATCGTCCTTGTTGTATACTCTTTCTACAATAAGTAACTGAAACAAAGAGTTTTCATAGTTATTACTCTTTATGTTTACGGGACTATTCCCACCTCTCGTTCCCACCATTGCAACTCCTGTGTAGCCAGGATCTACAGCTTGACCGCCACAAAAACCCAACCAATGAAGGTCAAGTTTGTCCTAGGGGAAAGTTAAACTGTTATTGGACCCGCAACTAAATAAATCAGAAGAACATATGAGTTCGAAATTAAGGTTCAACTTCCCTCCATTGCAAAGCGGATGACAGGTGATACTTACTCTTTATGTGTACTTAATCAAGACCAAGACACCCGTATTCACATACGATACTTGCTTAAGTGAAGCAGAAAATCAAACAAATCCTAGACTGCATCTCACTTAACACCAGGTGCGATTGCGGTCAAATACCTGCCTTGTCTTGCATAAAAAATGGCTCTGTGATTGGTTTGTGTGTAACCCTGTGCGTCAACGCGCACTGTGAGACCTCATAGTGATGTTTGTGAATACAGGCGTAAATTACCTAATTAAGGTTTATTAAAAAGTAGTGCAGTATTTTTACTTTATTAGAATTGGTAGAACGTACATAACGAACAGTGATTTACTTACAACGACTAACGGTAGAAACACAACGGTAGCCAGTAGCCACTTCCAACTGATTGTATCGCCAGTAAAAGGGTGCGAGAGCGCTGGATCGTTGCAGTAGAAGCCCAGTTGACGGTTGGGAAGCAGGCGGAGTTCCACGATCAGAAGAATCAGAATTACTGAAAAAATATATATTTGTAAAAATAATATTCGCTATTGTAAATACAAATTACATATTCAAAGCCATACAGGAGAATAGTTAGTTACCTAGTATGCTAAATAGTAAATAGTGAGAATGAGATAACAATGTACAAGTCTATTTAAATAACAATGTATTTATTCTAGAAATGTACTGCTACTAAGATCTGTAAATCTTGATCTACATTTTATGTAGAGATGGTAGCCCAACAAGCCTAAGGGTCTTGTAGTATTGTAGGTAATAGAGATGAGTTTACAATAAAAAAAATATAGTCTCAATGTGCTGTCGTCTGTACAATAGTTTATTTATTTAAACAACGGTAAAATTTAGTTTTCTCTAAGTTATAACCTCTATAATAATTCTGCTATAATCTCTCTCTTAGATTTTTTTTCCTTGAACTTCTAGAGAAAATAATGTAATGATAAATAAATGAAGTACATACCTCTATGCCACCGATTTGTTTTAGACCACAATAACTTTACTCTATCCATTTCGACCGGAATATTACCAAATTAACCTCGCACTTAGTAGCTAACCTTTCTCGTGACTAGCTTATTACTCTACTGAACAAACTACATATCACTGAATCATCGTACTTAATAAGATTATATCATAAATGTAAAAATAACACCGAGTCTTTCGATCATGTAACGCACTGTTGGAACATCTTTGCATAATATTTTACGGTTATATTAATTGGTCTATAACGGTATAGTTGGATTTAGCGAGAGGTATGGGTTTATTAACGCATATTATGTACTCGTAAACATGTAAAACTCCTTAAATAGTACAAATACAAAGATAACTTGTTTGAAAATACAAACAAGCAATATCGCATATCGGCTGATGTTGACGTTGCTGTATCTGTCAATGTCATGGTATGTTGACAGTTGCGTTTCGTTTCTTCTTCTTCTTTTTTTATTTGATGATGCCAACATCATCAAATTAAAAAAGGAGTAAATACACGTCGAAGTCGACTTGATTTGTGCCATTTTCAAGTTTATAGGTGATACGAGTTACAAAATGAGATCAAGTAATGATATAATGAAGGATGATAGATGATACCCCTTCCCACCCTTTGAGTCTCAGTAAAGTTGTGGTGCTTTACTGAGATCTCCTATGGACAACTTGAGAGAACCAGAAGAATCACGATGCACTATTTTGCTTCACTTGCCCACACCCATGCACGTTCACGAACACTTAATGGTTAATAATCCACCATTATTACACATTAATAGTCGCCCAAACACGAATTTGAGGAAATAAAACAAACCGCTAACATGACGCTTCAGATTCCCGCCAAGAAGTCTTGCGTTTCGTTTAAAACTTCAATAGTCCAGTAGAATTAGCTTTTAAATCGGAAATAATTCCTACAAAAGATTTTATTGTTTTAATGGCTTCATTGGTTGCCCATTAAGACTCTCCTAAGTTTTCGACTTCGACGGAGTTGTGCTTAAGTGGTGGGAGCCCCCGAAAGAGGCATTTTTTCGGTTTTCCGGTTATACCGCGTAAAGGACTTACCCTATCAAAAAGTGGTCTTCATGACGGTTGAAGGGCACTTAATCCTGCATTGAATAAGACCAAATTCATATGTTTTGGACAAACCGTTCTCGCGCTAATGTTCGGCAAAGTAGAAAATATACGTATAATTAATGACCCTCTCCACGTCCAATGGTTTGTTACCCACAGGCTTCCAAGTCTTGAAAAGGGCCACCTCAACCAGTGTAACCCTATCAAGGCTTACGAGCTTGATGCGCCTATCCTTGTTCGTCCCAGCCGTTCCTTAACTGCGGTTGCTGCACCTCTTCCTGGCACTCACCTGAACGACTCTGTGTTACCTACTGTGGCTTCCCCTCTCATGTGGGTAACAAGCCATTGGACGTGGAGAAGGTCATTAATTATACGTATATTTTCTACTTTGCCGAACTTTAGCGCGAGAACGGTTTGTCCAAAACATATGAATTTGGTCTTATTCAATGCAGGATTAAGTGCCCTTTAACCGTCACGAAGACCACTTTTCGATAGGGTAAGTCCTTTACGCGGTATAACCGGAAAACCGAAAAAACGCCGCTTTCGGGGGCCCCCACCACTTAAGCACAACTCCGTCGAAGTCGAAAACTTAGGAGAGTCTTAATGGGCAACCAATGAAGCCATTAAAGCAAAAAAATCTTTTGTAGGAATTATTTCCGATTTAATCAATTTTTGTGTTTAATTCTACTGGCCTACAATAGAAAGTAAAAAAACTTAAAAAAGTAGGTATTTACTAAATATTGGTTTTCATCTTCAATCTCCTAGTTCCCAACCCGTTTGGTTAGCGTATGAACTTTAGGCTAATATTCCATTTGATTGTGGTAAACTATAAACTATATTGCCTTATTGGACACAACACAACACAATAGGATTGTTAGAATTTGTAACCTGCTAATTTTCCTAAATAAAATTGTTGTTTTGAAACCTTAATGCCAATTACAAGCATTTACTAGACCTGACATTCTGTTACGATTCTCGAATGTAGGTCTCGGTGTTGAGGTAAACTGATGATTGTTGCTTCATTGGCACCAAAATGTCAGCATAAAGTGCAATAATGTACAGTCGACAGCACATCAAGCTATACATTTTCGTTGCAAAGTCGCCCGTATCGCAACTACGTAAGATACCACAGTGTTTACGTTGACGTGCTGTTGACCGTACAAATTGGATATTGTAACAGGTAATATAGAAGGTTTAGTAATCAAAAGCTTGAGTTACTTATTAGGTACTTGCTTTGGTAGACAGGTAACTTTCTTAATCTGGACTTTTTTAACTTTTCCCTTTTTCAAAAACCGGGATAACTATTTTATGTTCTTTACCGGGACTCAAACTATCTCTATACCAAATTTCGTTCGTTAGGCGTGAAAGCGTTACTTTCGCATTTATGTATTACTTAAGTAACTAAATAAGTTAAAAGGGATAACAGCTTATTAAAAAGATGTGTGTAGTGTAGTGTAGTGTAGGTATACCTACCTACTGTGTCTACTAATAAGTAAGTAAGACTTTCTTGATCTGTAGGTCCTGAAATAATACCTACCTACAGGTAGAGATAGGCACGTACCTAGTAAATGTATCAAAATGGAAAAAAAAAAGAAAGATATTATTAACTTTATAGGTATTGCGTGAACGTGAATCTGGTAGAGTCCTAAGACTTTTAACATTTTCCGTAACTTCTAATTCCTTCGTTCATCGAACCCCTTTGAAATATTGTTACATCGGAATTAAAATTTGCATAATTCGTTACGCGATCTCAGCGCACAATGCCGATTGTGTGCACTTGTAACATAACACGGCAGAACCTTAACAATACCAGGGTTTTAGAAATTATGATTATGATTGAACCTTAGAATTGTAACGTACAACTACGAGCAGGGTAATGGCCCCAGTTTCTAGGTTTAGGTATGCTTCAGTTACAATTCCTAGCAAAAGCTACTGAACTTGCTCAGGCCCCTCTTCCCACTGGGCACCCTGTGTGCCCAGGGCCTCGCATCGAGGAGCGCGTTCTCATAAAAGATCTTTTTCCAGATGAGAAGGGCCTCCCTTGATCCTTATGTGCCCAGGGCCCCTAGTAGGTTAAAGACGGCCTTGAACTTGCTGGGAGGTACCTGAGAAGCTAAACTTATCTAATCCTTCAAGCTGTTTAATTGGCAGTGTGCCAAAGGATCTTCTTTCTACTCCTACATAACACTTGAAAAACACAATAACCTTCATTCTGTCCTGTGACTGAGTTTCTTCCGCCACTTCTTCTCAGTACCAGTCGAACTTACGTTGTCCCATGGCGATGACTGGCCATTTTTTTTTAAGATAGAATTTGAAGTCTCAACTCGTAGTCGGGTTTAAAAAACATCGTTTTATTATCTAACATTTTGGTGGTCCAACATTCCCGACAAATTGAAGATCCTATCTAACTGATTGAGGAGAGCACATTATACTAATTGTAATCGTCCTTTGATGAATTTGTCTATAAAAAGGATAATGGCCATCGTGGGTATGTTTCATTTGTATGCCACACAGAATGACATGTTCCTTTTAATGGATATCATAAAAATACTTGCTTGATAAAATTATTTAGTGGCTGTTAGCAATGACATGCTGTTAGCTCCTTTTTTCAGGATCACAAACAAGTTATAAGAATTTATTGATATTCCAACTTAGAAAAATTAAAATTAAAATCTTTATTTATATTGCGTGAGAAATGGAAATACTTTTGTCCTATTTATAACGTCTTGACATTTTCAATATTGCCTTAGGAATATTTGCAGTTTTATTTTCTTTCATTGCAGACTTTTATGTCAAGAAAAAATATTTGCTTCCATAAACAACGATCAAAGACACCTCTTTATCTTTCATCCTCTTTACACGCTCTACCAAAAATAAAAAAGCAATTTCTTTTTTACAGCATCACCGTGTGTGGCCAGTCCCACTTTGTCCTGTTGGCCAACCATAGACTGAGCGCGTTAATTTATAATGAGCCAGATAAAACTATCTGTGGATTAAAATAATGAAGCGTATCATGGCGGCCATATTTTATTTGGTTGCAAAGTTGAACGGCCTGAATAAAGAAAAAGATAATTTCCTTATTAATTTTTAAGATAATTTATTATGAGTTTATTTAGGTAATATAAAGTAGTGCAGCTTCCTTCTTTTGTTTTTTTTTTAAATAATTTTATAGATTAAGTAGACACAAATCTTTTATTAATTACGTTTCTTGACTCATTAACTCATTCTTATCAATTGAGTTGAGTTAAACTGCAGACAAAATTTACTAAAATAAAAATAACGTCATTATTATTTAGAAATATTATTGTGAAAGCGTTTATTTACCAATTTACTTATAAAAGCAATTGAATTTGATTGCTTTTAAACTTAACTGCTGGCGTTTTATTGAACTACCGCCTACACGTGTTATTAAGTACAAGTACTAAGTTTACTGGAAAGTAGAGCTATAAGACTAAGCAGTTATTTTGTATGAAGCAATCTTGGAAATTATATTTCCGTGTATTTGCTGTTGGATTGAGCAATAAAGACATAATTTGTTCCATGGTGTAACATAACTTAACTATGGAGATATTTAATCCCCTGTTATTTTGTTTTCGTTCGTCTTAGGCAAATGACGTCCACTGCTGGACAAAGAACGGTCCACAATGAACGGTCCTGCGCTGCCCGCATCCAGGCTCTTCCCGCGACGTTTACCAGATCGTCGGTCCATCTAGTAGGAGGCCTGCCCACACTACGTCTTCCAGCCCGTGGTCGCCACTCGAGAACTTTCCTGCCCCAACGGTCATCGTCTCTACGAGCTATGTGCCCAGCCCACTGCCACTTGATTTTAACAATTCTGCGAGCTAGGTCGGTTACTTTTGGTTCTCCTGTGGCTGTTATTTTGTTTTACTGGTTTAATAACACGAATTTAAATAATTAGCAATTTCCAGAGTTATAAAATAAGCATACTCATACTCATAGGTCATGTACCTAAGTACAATAAAAGTTTTAACTGTGCGAGTTTTAATATCTACAATAACGTTTATGTGAGATTAAAACTAAAATAAGAACAGGAATGGGATGTTTGCGCTTCCGTACGTTTGTTTGATCATCGCATTAGAATGGCGCTATGCTGCGGATGTAGTTGGATTTCAGGTAAAGTTCACAATGGCTGGGAAAAATACTTTATCTTAGGAATGGGTCAGATTGAGCCGATTCATGTTGTTGCCGGTCATTAAGTCATTTACCTGAATCAAGTTTTCATATTAAATTCATCCTTGAGTCTACTACATTTTCTATGATGAGCACGTACAAACTGTAACAAATTTTCAATGTAGAAACCGGGCCTAGCGTGCTATGGAGAGCATTGTTTTCTTTACGAGGTCGACCTAGCGCGACGGATTAATACCCAGCTGAAGTGACGGCAGATGGGGCAGCAAGGTCCTGGAGTGGAGGCCACGTACCGGAAAGCGCAGCATAGGACGTCCATCCACAGTGTGGACCGACGACCTCATAAAGGTGCAGGCGCTGGATGCAGGCCAACCGGCCATTGTGAAAGTTATTGGGGAAGGCCTATGTTCTAGTGGACGTCCTGAATGGCTGGCTGAAATTATGATGATGATGATGAACCGGGCCTAACACAAGGTTTCTGAATGTGATGTCGGTTATTAACCATTTTATAAACCACGACAGTAAGTAAAGGAAAAATAATAACAAACCTTTTTCTATACTAATTAACAAGTCGGCTTACTACAAAGAACTAAAAGAAAACAATATTTTCTATATTTTAGTGCGTTTCGTATTTAAATCAAAGCACGACTATTTTCATAGTTTATCTACAGCAGGAGCCGCATGTAAAAAACCGGACATTCAAACAAAGGCTGAGATTAGCGGTAAAACGTCTGTCTGTTTGTTTATGTGCAGCTCTACAACGCATTGTAAAGAAATGTTTTGTCTCTCTTTCTATTCTATAGTTTTTATCGCTTACCTACGTCCAAACTATGCAGTTGTTGGAATTATGGTGCAACTTATTAATAAGTAATTAATTAGTATTAATGTCTCATATCTCTATGAATTGCCGCATTTCTAAAAATATATTTGTGGGATAGGTATCCTTAGAGCACTTTTTGCCGTAGATGGATCGTGACCTTTGAAAGAAAGAAAGAAAAAATATTTATTTGCACTAGATATAGAATGATACAAATTGAATTCTCTCTTTAGTCCAGATTTCAACTCTACATACAACAAAAATAGTTAAAAAATATGAATTTATTCCAGGATTCAAACTCGTAACTGCAGCGTTGTTTTTTCGGAACGCGAACCTAAGGGCAAGCGACCCTCCAAAAGAGAACAATCACAATAACTGATAATCAATAATGCGTACAAAAGAAAATTGTTTTCTATGACGAAATAAGAAGCATCATGTTTATCAATGCCTTTGCAACATAAGCTTTATTGTTACCAATAAGCTGCCTGCAGGAAAACAAATACATAATAATGCAATTCTTGCTAATAAAGATACGCAATTTAGCTTGAAATTTCCGGATCATGGGTTAAAGTTAGACTAAATAACATTATGCGAAAAGCATGTCTAAACGGTCGGATTGACGTCAAGCCACCCAGTAGCTCGCCATATGTTTCACAATGCACCATCTCGGTGTCCGGTCGATTGGTCGGTCGATGATGGGTGTGCAGCGACCACTTTCGGTGAAGTATGGGAGCTCTTCCGTCCATTACGGATTATTGAAATTGTACAGACGCGCGCGAAAGGCTTGCTAGTTAAATGCTAACTCATAAGTTAGCTCAATTTAATTTACCAGGCAATAATTACTTATTGCATTACAGTTTGGGGAGCCGCTGGTAAAACAAAGTTAATACAGCTTGAACGGGCTCAAAGGGCAGTTCTGAAAGTAATGGCGTCAAAGCCAATCAGATATCCCACCATAGAAATTTTCTGCTTCTGGGAGGTTCTTTCTGTCTGAAAATTGTTCATCGTAAGTGTTGCTTTGCGTAAATATAAAGACCTTGTCTTTGATCCAAATATATCGCTGACTAAAAGAAGAAAAGACATAGTATGTGTTACAGTGGGGTGTAGGTTGGTATTGGCAAAGCATCATTATAATTATATAAGTCCCAAACTTTACAACAAGGTTAATAAAGTAGGTACTGAACATTTACCCTCTAACATCACATAAGTGTAAAGCCCTCCTGAGTAAATGGCTGCTTACCCTTGGTTATGTGGAAGCCCTGGTTAAGTAATTTTACATACATAAACTCACACTCACATCACACACAACACATCATACACTACACATTACTCACACACTGCTATTTTTGTTCTTAGTTAAATGTATACCAACTTAATGTTATTTGTTAATGTCTTTGTCTGAAACGCCCGTCTACATTAGAGGTGGGCGCTAACATCTGCGACACAGTCTTAGACTACTGCAAATGTTAACGCTAAAATGATTGTGTAAAATTGTTTCTGGTTTCAAATAAAGATTTATTTTATTTTATTTTTTTATTAATTTAATTTTGTTTACTATCACTCAGCATCATCAGGAAATCTTCACTGAACGAATCGTCATCATCAGGTCATTTAGTATTCAATGCCGGAGCACGACTCTCTCTAACTTACCAAAGGCAAATGGAGGATTTGGCCTATTTTATTAGGTACTCTCTAACAAAAATAATTTGTTTGTGTGCAATATCACTTAGTACCTTACTTACGTACAAAGGTAAAATTACAAGTCACACAAAGTGCATTCAACAAGTCCTGAAAAAAGCTCACATGATTATAGTTATTCACATTCACATGTGTATGTGAATAACTACAATGCTGAAAACTATGCAGAGTGTTCTGCATAGTTTTCAGCTATGGCATTTTTCAGGAATTACCTACATGACTTTTCTTGGCAAAATCCAGGGGAACAATGAAGAGTATATTTTTAATGACATAACTCCTGAAAATCTATATTTTAATCTCACTTTATAAGACACTTTTCTCTGCAACTGTACCAGAACTGACAAATTTCAACACTTACTGCAGTGCAGTCATTACCATATTATTAACGTTGCACAACCTAAAAAGCTTATAACAACATATAGATTACAACATAAACATAACATATTAGCATAACTATGTTGGTTCAGCTGGGCCGTGCTCAGTGAAGTTTACGACTTAGGACGCGGTCACACTGTCGGACTTGCTGCCTGACGCTCGTATCCACAAACATTGCTATGAGATCTCACAGTGCGCGTGAACGCACAGGGTGACACACTAACTAAACACAGAGCTCTATTCAACGCTGTGAGTTCGATTTGCTGCTTCACTTAAGCAAGGATCGTTTGTGAATACGGGCGTGATACATCTACATAAGAAGGTACAGGAATTAGTATTTATTCAGACAAATAATACCGAATAATATTGACAGTGAACAGTCTCAGCATCTAGGAATACTCGTAGTATCAATCGTTGAGATATCTAATACACATAAAATCATTTATTTTGGCAAGTAAGCTTTTAAAACTCTATAGGTACTTTTGTATTGTATGAGTCGTCAATTATTAATTCACGAAATTATCGGATTCGTATATATATTTGCTATGAATGAAAGGTACTTACTTAGCTAGCGACTACGTATAATGTTCATGTTAGTGGGAACGTGGGCTATCTCACGCGAACAAAGCTCTGTTTGGTATGGGATAAAAAATCACCGTAGTGTGGTCGTAGCCTTACCAAAGCTTAAGCGTAACTAATTGAATGTTGAGTTAAGTTTAAGTAATGTTTAGTTATATTAAGCAATAGTGTTATTCGTGTGGAATTAGTCCGAGATATGCCGTTTGGTCGGCTAGTGTTTACGGAATTCTTGGTTTTATAATTACTCACTTCCTTGATAAATAAAGCAAGTTTAAAACGTTTCAGGTTGTTTATAATTAAGAAATCTTTTGGCCTTTCCAGTTTTCCTTTACATGAACTATACCTGTGACTTCGTACCTACTCGTGAAAATGGTTTTTCATTGATGGAAAAGTGCTTTTTAAAAGCCTGTTTTCAAAAATAAATAAGTTTTTATAAGCTCCACACCTATTGTCATAGAATAATAATGTACTTCGTCTATTGGTCATGGTGTGATATTAGGTATAGCTTGTAGTAGCTTTCCTCGATATGGACTATCCAACACAAAATTAATTTTCATGAAATTCATGAGATTAGCACTTACAACTAATTAAGCAATCAAACAAACACTACCTTTATGTATAAAATACATTAGTAAATAGATAAAGTAGGTACCTATCTGCAATAAATAAACTTGCTTTATGTATAAAATACATTAGTAGGTAATGTAGGTATATAGATTATACTCGTAGTAGGTATCTGCAATAATTAAACTTATGTACATTCGTAGAAAACATAGAATCTGCGTCGTTAAGATCTATAAACACTTTCTAAGAAATAGCAAAGCATTATAAAGTCATTAAGTAAAGTTTTCTTTTCCGTCAAAAAACGGAATGCTATGCGACCAGTAATTTCTTACCACTCGCCTTGATTGGACCACAAATTGCCATCAGAAACGAGTTTATTACGCCGACTGTATTACTAGAGAAATAATTCATTAAGGCTTCGTTTGGATACCGTTCGTTTCAGCCAAATGACGTCCACTGCTGGACAAAGGCCTCCCCAAGGATGTCCATCGACCGGTCCTGCGCTGCCCGCATCCAGGTTCTTCCCGTGACCCTCACCAGATCGTCGGTCCACCTAGGACTGCCCACTAGACTGTCCTCCGGCCCGTGGTGGCCACTTGAGAACTTTTCTGCCCCAACGGCCATCATCTCTACGAGTGTGCCCCGTCCACTGCCACTTGATTTTAGCAATTCTGCGGGCTTTGGTACCTAATTCTGACAATCAATCGACTTACAAAAATAAATACAACTTTTTTTAAAGTCCTCGATAAATTACAGATGACGAATATATCTAAACAAATAATCGAAAAATGTAGCGTTATGTATAGCAACAAAATACAATTGCAAAACATAATTTAAACCTTTTCCACTTTTTAAAATAACTACTTGCCTTTTAAGTAAAGACAAATAAGAAGCAAAATAGATTTAAAAATATTATGCAGCAATTTATATACACTCGACAGCAAATAAATCGCACCACCCGCGACAAGCACTTTCAAACGTATGCATCCTCACTTCACACCAATATTGGTACCATTCAAAAGCCTAGTTCTAAACTTCATTTCAATATAGGAAAGGTTTTTACCCCAAAAATGTTTCTTTAGAAGAATCCAGAGTCACTTCTTCAAAAAATAGATAGTTACGCTTGAGCCAACTTTTATGGCTATAAAACTGTTAAGTTGGGATTAATCGCTATTCATCTGTTAAAGAGGAAACGTGTGATCATTATTTGGTTTTATAACCATAAAATTTAGTCTAATTGATCCCAGAGGTGAGCCCAAAGTGAGGTCTTTTTTCAAGTCACATTTATGGTATATGTTAATCATTTATTAAGAAATTAAATGTGTTTTTCTTTAAGGATATTTATTGGGCTTTCAAATAACACCAATATTGTTGGGGCACCATTATTGTGTCAAAAGAAAATCTTTAAAGTTCGCGTCGCGGGTGGTGCGATTTATTTGCTGTCGAGTGTAGATAAATAAATTGCTGCATTTCTTTCAGCAAAAGGACGCAAAAGGCCGCGACAAGGCACGCGAGCCGATAATATCGCCTACACAACGTGGTACGGGATGAAATTCCAATTATTTTTACTTTAGCTGTGATTCAGGTACAAAAGACTGGCTAATTTTAGAATGTCTTTCGTTGAATTTAAAAGAGCCTTAAATCCTTTTATATTCTTAAAGTAGACTCTTCTACAACTAATTAAAAATAAACACTATTTTTTCATTTTCTAAATAGACTCCCTTCTTTTCTTTTCTCTAGTCCTTTTTCCCATTCTTTGGGGTCGGCTCTCCTTCTGAGGCGCCAAGACAGTCTGCCTGATAAGACTCAAATTCAAAAAATTTAATATAAATAAATAGAAATTAATGGTGGCCTAAAGAAGTAATTATTCCAACGCACTGGCGTTTCGATTCCAAGCAAAATAATACTTACTACATTATTAGCTACTAAAGTTACTTACTTACGTAGAAAGATACGACTGTGGTCCATTGTCTTGAACGATGTATTTTTTACTACATATTGTCTGACTAGCGGCCGCCCGCGACTTCGTATGCGTGGATTTTACCCCTTTAGGGGTGGAGTTTCGTAAAATCCTTTCTTAGCGGATGCCTACGTCATACATCTACCTGCATGCCAAATTTGAGCCCGATTCGTCCTAACCACTGGTCGAATCGGGCTGAAATTTGGCATGCAGGTAGATGTATGACGTAGGCATCCGCTAAGAAAGGATTTTAAGGGCTGTGCGTTGATAGATCACTATGTTAGTCAGTCAGTCAGTTAGTCAGTCAGTCAGTCAGTCAGTCAGTCAGTCAGTCAGTCAGTCAGTCACCTTTGAGATTTAGATGTGGCGCTATCTAATAGACAGTTTAAGAGCGTTGTAGCAAAAAGTTGGCGTTCGAATTTTAGGTTTTTATTGCTTGACGTCGCGTAGTGAGTGCGCAAACTGCATTTATCTGTACAATTTCAACGCTGCGTCGACTAAACGATCTTAATCCGTAGTTGTATCGTACTTAAGACAGTACATCATACATAATAATAAAGAAATAATGTATAATTTACCTATTTGATTTTTTCTCAGATCAGACTTTTAGCAAAATCAAGTTACGTAATTAATGTATTTTTTACACTAGTAGGGGAGACTGGGTACGGTTGAAACAAAGGACAGTTGAAACAGAGCAAATATCTCGTAAACGGTTCCACGGGGAGTTAGGGGTCCTAGGGGAAAAAGAAGCGGACAACAGGTCCGAACACGAATTTAGTGCCTAAAACTTCCTAACGCGTTGACGTTGTGTGCAAAACGCCATATTGTTTTTTACCACCCAAAAGTAAGTATTTTTCTTCAGACATTAACGCTTATACTACCTGTTCTTTTTATGTGAATGTATCGAGTGTGCGTTTGCGATTATAATGAAGCTTGCAGAATAAGGGCCAGTAACTATTTTTAATGTGTTATCATTAGTGTCGAAACTATAAAGTATATTTTACCAAAAGTGGGGTTGGGGGCGGTTGAAACATTTTTTGTGGGTACGGTTGAAACAGAAAATTTATTAATGTTTATTTTTTGTAGATACCGAGAGTTTGGGTAAGGAAGATTCCAGAGAGGAAATTGACTTAGTAAAGCTTAAGAGGAGGTAAAAGCTGGAGATTCACTGCGGAAAGCGGCGAAAATTTATGATTTGAAAAAAAATAAAAGATTTTCGTTAACTTTATTCAGAATGTTAATATTATTTTATTATTAATGTTTATTAGGTTTGGAAATATCATTTAGTTAATCATATTTCTGTTATTTTTGAAATGTTTACTACTTATCAAAGGCTAATTAATGTTTTAGAAATATTAAATACTTAGACTGATTAATGTCGTCATGTGGTACCATAATTTTAATATTCGTAGTATTAATGATAAATAAAACACGTTTTATTAGTACTTATTGTATTATTTGTATGTATTTCAACAGATCCCAATCGCTGTTTCAACCGCCGTTTTAAATTTCGTATATTTCTATAAATAGTAACCCGGGAACTATAATGATACAGCCATATCATAGCTAAAACTTCAAATTTCAATTTCACGTATCGTAATCGTCACTTGGTTATTAAACAACAAAATTATAGACAATAAAAGCAAAATTGTTTCAACCGTACCCAGTCTCCCCTAAATCCCGCGATAAGTTTTTAATCTTTAAATTGAGTAAAGTAATAAGTTGATGGGTTTGAAAGAATTTATGTTTTATTTTATTCTTTTTACAGCATCAAAAGCTTGTTTATGATAAATATTTACTATTTAAATTTTACTTTTGACTTTTTAGTTTTTATGATGCGGGATGGAAAAATTAAAATTTATTCTGATTTTGTGACGTTTCCGCACATAAATATGGATAGGTTAAATAAATAGAATGAAATGTATGAAAACGGGCGTGCCATTTTTTAAACGTTATCTATAATATCTGTGTCTATCAAAGAGCTCGTAACTAAACATCGTAAGCGCCATTCAAATTATTATCTAAGAGTTAATAATAAATATTTAGTTTTTGTAAATCTAAACAAGTCAGGAAATCAAAGAGGTAAATACTGATATCATTATGATTTTATAGAACTTATTATTATAAACCACGGTCGTATAATGCTAAAAAATCAGAGGTAACTTTAAGATTTTTATCCATTGAGCAAAATTTATCTAATCGTGTTTTTAAACAGTTACCCCATTAGGTACACATGCGTTCTGTAATACAAACCCATCAAAAATAATACTTGTCAAAAAACCAAGTCTCACTACTCAGTTGTTCTACGGTAAAAAGTTGTGAGATCCGTGTAATACCAAGTCCAGTCCAGGAAATCATTAACGTTTTACATAAATATATTGACTTGGCCATCGCATGAAAACACGTGTAAATTAAATTATTTAGTGCGAAATGAAACGAAATTTTGCATGCCTCTGTAGACATGCAAAATTTCAGCTCAATGGGAAAACGGGAAGTAAGTAAATTTTAAGTTGCAAGATTTTACAACTCCAGATGTCAAAGAAAATAAAAGCTTGTAGATAGCTTTACAAAGAAAAGAAATATTTATGAAGAAAATAAAAAGTACTGTCTACGATACATTTGTTAGGCCGTGTTGCACCGTCTTACTTTAACATTGACATCAAAATTTTCGATGTCAAAAATCTATCTAACATAAAACACCGGTTATTGTCAGTTAGGGTCAAAGTTAGGTGGTGCATCTCAGCCTTAGTGTATTTTAATTAAATTTAATACAAATAAGGATGACGAAAATAATCGATAAGTGATCTCACTCGAATATTTCTTATAGTAGGTATACAAGATGTCGAACAAATGGTTACTTACTGAAAAAGTGCTTCATGAGACCTAGCAAACGGCATCAATAATATGTTTAAGAACGAACTGAATCTATTCAAAAAACCTATATTTCCAGCTTTCATACATTTAATACAGTTACAAACAAACACGAAATCAATGGTGTCTGAGAATTCTGAGTGCCTTAATGCCGTCCCCTTTATCTGTTTATTTAGTATTTATTAATTAGTATCTCTTGATAATATTGTAGCAAGTTAAACCTAAAATCATGTTTTCCGTAAATAATTTAAATAAGAATGCAATTTACGAGTTTGTTGTTTGATTATTATACATTACTCAATTAAAAATTCAAATTTTAAAAATTAACACTTCTAATATGGTAGGTAATGTAGGTATGGCTGGCGGCATACATTTAGTATGAAATTCGGAAACATTGAATTTTCGCATAGATCCAGTTTATTCTTTGACCTATTTATTGTTATTGTTTTAAAGAGCTCATGAAGCACTTACAGGAACAGTAAACAGTTTCTCGATATCTTGTATAATTAAAAATCAAGTGAAATCACTTATCGTTTCCACCCTGTACCTATACTTTTAAAAATAAACTCATTTTATACGTTCATTTGTATAAGTATCTACAATACAAATACCTAACCAACTTAGTTGACGTTTTATAAAACTATTTGTCTAAGTGTCATCGAGCGACCGCTGGTGGATTTGCCATTTACCTGACCTACCCCTTTATTACTAAACGTTTAATATCAGATGAATAGTTACGCACCAATTTCTTTCATTCAGTCGTCAGTAATTGAACTTTCGGAAAAACATGACGAAGCGTTGTGTGACCATACAGACGCTATTCAACTTTTATTAGTAAGGAAGAGTATATTTTATGTTGGTAGAAACACAATAGCATAGACTAATGTTTTGACACCCTGTTAAAATTTTTATTAGTCATTTATTTTTTCCTGACCAAACAGATACCATAATAATATCTTTTATCTATTCTACCCATATTCTGTAAGTAAAATAATAAAAAGTTTGAAAAGAAAGAAATTACAAGTCCGATTTACCTAAACAAATAAATTAAAAATACTTGCGGATCAAAAGTACTCAATCATACTACAATTTACGAAAAAATCACGCGTGACGCATATACGTCAGTGGGCAGTCAACTGACATAGACCCGGCGTCTACGAGTGCCAAAGCACGACTGATTTATGCCATTTGATGCACCCGATTTTATAGTATTTTCAAATTAATTTTTCATTTGAAGATTGAAGATAGATATTTTTTCTTTTTCACACAATGATAGTACTATGTTTCTTCTTAAGTATAAAGTAGTTTATGTTGCCAAATGACTTTTAGATTATGAGATGTGACCTGTTTTCTTGCAGTAATTTTCTCGAATTTTGACTATCTTAGACATGATAAAAATGCATTTTAATGAATTAAACATCAAAATTTTCTCAATACACTTTCTTCTTCAGGGTATGCTTATTCTAATGAATACATTCTATCTTCTTACTTAGAAATAAATTTGTTGTAATATTAGTTCAAAGTTGTGCCTTCGCGAGTTACCTGGAAATCGGGCTTTCGAAATTCACTGTTTTCGTAGGCAAAAATCCAATTTGAACGAGATTTTGTCAATAGACATTCCGTAAAAAAGTATGATAATTACGATGATATAAGTCAAAAGAAGCTATAACAATAAATTATATGACTAAAATCATTTCGAAATCTGCCAAATTCTCGATTTCTGCATGAAAAATGTGACAACGCTCTTAACATGTCCTCGATATTCAGACTAAATTAACCCTGCAATATCATGACCAAACTTGGAACACATACTTAAGTATTGATCATAAAGACCTATGCGAGCTAGAAAGTCCAACTCTACATCTACGGGGGCGTTCAACGACTAGAAAAAGAAGATTATATAGTGTTATATTTATATCAGCTTCTCGCACCGCAACATAAAATTTTACCGCAGTCATAATATCGGCGGAAACACTACGTCTTTTCTATTTAAGGAACAAAACAAATTGGTTTTCATCTATTCTGTATCGTGTCCAATGGGTAGATGACACCGCTCTTTAATCTGTATTAACCACCATCCTACTAATATCCTATTAATATTTATAAATGCGAAAGTTTGGATGTCTGGATGTTTGTTACTCTTTCACGCAAAAACTACTGAACGGAATAAGACGAAACTTTACAGTATTAATGTTTATAACCCAGAATAACATATAGGCCAAAAGCTAGTTATCAATAAATCCTTAAATCACTTCAATCAAGTCCTGAAAATCGAGTGCAGCAACTTTTTTCAAGAAAAGAAAGTTCAAATCTTAAAAAAATGCATAAGTAAGCAGGTACTTATGTCCTGTAGGAAAGTTGTTGCATTTGAGCACAAGGTAAGTATTTAGAATCAATCCTTTTATTTGATCACCTATCGTAATGAGAGAGTCGCGTTTTGATAGATATTAAAAAGGTTTTCAGTAGACTAGTGTTTCAACTACACACTCTATATTTATTTGTTAAACTGATTTATTTGATACTTGATGTTATAAAATATAGGTAATTTCATTAAAAAACAACAGATTCTAAAAGAAAAGCACTTTTAGTATGATTAGCACAGAAATCAGTGCAATCAAATGAAATTTGAGCCTTTCTCTCGGTGCGCTTGCGTCGGTCGATGTAAATTCGCTCTATCAACATGCATTTCCCTATTTATTTTCCACTTTACACCTTTTGTTTACAAAATATTTATAGTGATATTAGCAGAATTAGGGCTCTGTGTTACAGTTACGGCTGTTATGGTAAAATAGATCACGATTTTGCTACGGAATGGGACGACAGAAGAGTTTTTTTATGCATAACAAGGCAGGTATTACACCAAAATTGCACCTGGTGTTAAGCGAGATGCAATCTAGTCTATCTGCCCTGTAAGTGCTTATTCACTCTCGCCTTGAAAATGCCCGGATTATAGTCTTCGGGAAAGACAGCCAGGCAGCGAATTCCAGTCCCTAGCTGTTCGCATTATAAAAGAGTCATCGAAATTCGACCAAACCGATTATTAGAGCACGCACGCTTTCCTAAAACGTAGTATACTTATTCACTATACTTTTAAGGTTACTTATAGGAAAGCAGGAACAAACGATTGGAGATGGTTTTATAATTATTGCATGATGTACTTTTTAATTTTTAATTCTATTGTTTTAGAATTACCTACTTCATTGTGATTAATTTTAAATTCTGCAGTAACTGTTAAATAACGTCTCAACGTGATGGCGACAACAAACCATGTAAGTGTGGTTTATTGAATTATGATCTATTAGAAACCCATAGCATAGACAATGCGGGCTATTTTATTGCTTGTAAGGGTATCAGTATTCGGATCTCAAGTAAGGTGGCGTTTAAAGTTAATGAATAATAAACTTTATGCTATGGTAGGTAGAGTTCATATTGTGTAATTTTCTATGAAGTTGGATTTGGTTGACATAGAGGGCACGTTGTTAACTAATCAATCATGTAATAAGTGAGTTTATTTGTAACGAGAAGTTTTTTAGTAATTTTCTGAACAAATTGTTGATAAATTATGTTATTTTATAGTGCAATAAAGCACCATCTTCTTTTATTTACGTTTTCTCGGAAGTGGTCTCCACTCTAGAGCACGTTTACTCTTAATTTAGTTCTAATAGAAGCGAAATTAGTCTGAAAATTAAATACTGTCGACTGTCTTAAGTTTTAAATAACTTGAAAAAATCTAACTACCTAGGGTGGGAATCGAACCTGTACGACTTTTCGCTTGCCAGGTGACTATAAAATTTCCATGTTGATCGACATGGAAAGCATTGGGGGAGGCCTATGTTCAGCAGTGGACGTCCTGTGGCTGAAATGATGATGATGATGATGATATAAAATTTAGTTTCAGATGCCACTCTTAACTGTAGATTTTTTTATTAACTGTGTACTTATAACGTATGTAGATATGGATGAATAAAACAAGTAAATTAAAAATTCACTATTCAGTTTATTGACGACACATACACGAACTGATATTCAAACACGCGTCAGCTACTTAAACTATATTTACAACAATGCCATAACACTAAAACTACGTAAACTAAATGCGAAGGAATGTCATTGTGGTCACGTGTAAAAAAAAATACAAAAAAATACCCATAATTTTTTTGTAGTTCCATTTTTTCTGACCGTAAAATTATAAAAAACTTTTTCAATCGTATTTTTTAACATAAAAATGGTTATTGCAAAAAAGACGTAAGTCGAATTACGACTTTTTTAAGAAAGTTTAAACTTAAATATAAGCAGATTTCAAAGATAGATGTTAGGTATAAGGTGGGTGGATAATCTATTGCTAAGTTTTAAATAAAACTATGTTTTATCTTACGACTAGACAGGTACCATACAGCGAATACTGTCAGTGCTGACCTAACTACAGGGTGTTAGAAATCGTATGATTCATGATTAACAACTTGCACTACGAAAAATACATCGAAATCGCTAATAATTTTCTGTCAAAGATTTTAATTTATCAACGATTTCGATGTAAAATTTGTTTTTTCAGTAGTGTATAGTCGCCAGTCGAAATTCCTCAATGGATTTTAGCTTTAAAGTCCAAAATTTTGATAATATTGAGAAGTTTGACTTGCAAGCGTCTGTTTGAATTACACAATTTTTAATCACCATTTATTGTCTATCCCAAACCATTTCCATAAAAACGAAGTTTCTAAAAAAGCACCAGAACCATTATTTTTCGGAAAAATCAGTTCTACAAACTTGTATCCTGTCTTTTTATGTTTTTATAAAATTGATTTGGATTCAACGCTTATTTTAAATAGAATAAATTAAGATCGAGTAAGTAGTGCATTGCCTCTGTAATACGGAGAAAAGAGTATGAACACACAACATTTAATACAAGTAAGAAAGAACATACAAATATTTTGTGATCGATAGAAAATATTTAATGTTTTTTTTTCCTAAAAGCTTGTATTTTTTAATACAAATGATAACGAAAAAATATATCGCGATTTTTTAAATGGAATTTTAATATTTAGTCCAGTCAATAAAGCATTATAGATGGAAAACTGTAGAACACAATTTCTGACTTCAGGACTTTATTTAGACTAGTTAGGAGGTGAACATAGCAAAAGTCCCCGCCCTTAGCCCTTGAGCCGGCGGGGAGAGGGGGGTTTAAAGGTGCCACTTTTCAGTTTTTCGCTTAATTCTCGGAAACTATGCGTCCTAGTGACATGACTACTTTGAACCAAAAAAAGCATATTCAATTTGCTACAGGTGAGATAGACAAGTTTTTCTATAAATTGTATAGTTTTCGCGGCATCTGCTCTAGAAGGTCTGTAATATTGGAAATTTTATTTTTGTCTTACATGTTCCCATCAGGAGAAAATCGACTAAATCAACATTGAGCAATCATTCTAGACATGCGGGAGCATGTTAAGCCTAGTTCCTGTGAGGGGACTACACCGTGCGTATATTTAGACGAATCACTTTGAGCCACTTTTGGCTCCTCATCACTCAAAAACTACTGTGCATTAACACTTCAAACTTGGCTCATGTGTTGAGACTTGCAAGATATACATCAGTTTTAAATTTTATAAATATGCCTCAAACGGTTCTTTAGATATTGACGTCCAATGCAGCATGCATTGAATAAGCTTTTTTTGGTTCATAGTAGTCATGTCATTAGGACGTATAGTTTCCGAGAATTAAGCAAAAAACCGAAAAGTGGTACCTTTAAACCCCCCTCTCCCCGCCGGCTCAAGGGCTAAGGGCGGGGACTTTTGCTATGTTCACCACCTAACTAGGCTAAATAAAGTCCCGAGGTCAGAAATTGTATTCCACGGATTTCTCTCTACACCGTCGTTAAGGCATTCATTGACTGGACTACATGATTTGTCTTAATTTAAACATTAAAACAAAATGATTGGAACTGATCGATCACGTTCTACAAAATCGTACAAATAAAGAAAATAAATAATGTTTGCTACATTCAAGTTACCACAAAATTACGAATTACTTGATAGATTCTTAATTTTGGTATCGTAATTTTGTGATAACTTAATAATATTATGATATCGACTGTACTATATTGATCTGTTACTAAAATAATATAAAATAACTAAAGATATCTACACAAAAAAGATCATCACTGGTTTTTCTTGCTATAAAATTACTTCAACTATTTTAAATACATTGTTGTCATTACGTAAAATCTTAACTATTTACTATCACGGTTTCACAATGAGGTCTACATTTAAATATCCTATGATCAGTATTTGTATTATAATAAAGAAATAAATAAATATGTATTTAAAATCCCATAGCAAATAGGAAAAAAAATATAACATGAGTAAGAGTAGGCGCACACCGTTGATTTTTCGTCGGCCGATAGTTTAGTCGGGCAGTTGATCAGTATGGGCATGTATGGGAGTGCGCACACTACGCCGATTCGATTTGGCCGATTCTTCATACAAATCAAAATCGGGCACAACTATCGGCCAACTAAAAATCAACGGTGTGCGCCTACTCTAAGACATTATGTTAAAACTCTTATTTGCTATCGATTTTTTTTATAAATCCTGGCAAACTACAGAATACGGCTGCATAGCCAAACTTTGGGCGCCATTTTGAAAAAGACTGAAACGGAGGTATGCTAGAAAAAACAATAGTAGAGCGCCGTCTCTATCATACCATGGGGTTATTAAGTTAATACAATAATTGCAATAGATCAAATACTACAGTATTTTGTCAGACGTAGAGAAATAGAGCACTAGCTAGTATTTTACTGAGAATTTAAATGCAAATAGTCTAATTACTAATTAAAGTAAACACACAACTTGCACTATTTTCTTACTATGGCAAAACATACCTAAGTTAATTTTAAAAAGTCCAATTTCTAAAGTAGCATCATTTTTTTTCAATAAAAGAGATCTATAGTCTGTGCCAATATAACTGATAATGTTACAGCAGTAAAATGATTTGTCAAATGACAAATTCAAATAGTTTATTCAGTACTTAGGTCCTTTTTAGGATGCTTAAACAAGTCCCAAATATAGCTTGCCCTACCACCCGTTTAGGACAACTTATGGGGAACACCGATTACTGTCTGGTGATTAAGGAAATCTCTTCTTGTAAATTAAAGTAGGTACTATTGAAGATATTGATAAATAAAAGGTCTTTAAAGTAATTTAGTTTTTGCAACTAGGATTTTTAGAAGTGCTTTTACTCATAACAGCCTCCGTTTCAGCCAATTTTATGTAATAAAAAAAAACTGTCAGTCTATTGGCACAGACTATAACATGCGCAACTGCACGAGTACGCCTCCAAAAAGTCTCCAAGCCGAATTGCCAAGACATAGCATACAGTCTAAATCACACACAGAAGTCACAATTGCCGGTGGCAGCATCTTTAACTTTTCACAAAAGGAGGCTCTCAATTCGGTCGGTATTTTGTAAGCATCAGCTTACACGGCTTGGGGCTAGGGCACGACCACGTGTGGTTCGCTGGACAGCAGCCGTCGGACTGAGTGGTGGTTGTTGCCGTCGCTGCTGGATATATCGCTGGTGCTGACTACGGCTGGCTGGGAGAAGTTCTTGCAGAGGACTAGCACCTGGAAAGATTACAGAGGTTTAGTACAGCCATAGTTCTTGCAACTCACGAAGGCGAGTGAGCTTTACTTGTTTGTGTACGTGTACATGCACATAACGATAGTGTAGATAATGGCTGTCAAAAATTTTGAAAAACGAACAGTAGCGAGCCACCACGCCATATAGAGCTCACTCGCTGTATTAATAAGTTACTACAAAACAATAATACTGTCATCACATCATCAGAACACATCATCAGAATCTACATCCCTTTAAAATAAGACTGCTCATGATAAAATAGTACATTCCCCAACTAAGAGACAAAACCAATGAGTTCAAATTGCAATAATTGAACCTAGTACAGATAGATTGTTATGAGAGATATTATAGAGAAACTAAGGATAAATTCATGAAATGAGTAAATTTTATTCATCCTCACAATGCTTTCTTTTCTTAACATTAACTCAATACTTTATGTGGACTGCAGCAATTGTCCCTAGACAAATTGACATTCATGATAGCCCAATAGAGCGCTTTACGCAGTTATTAGGTACTTCAAAATTCTGATGTAATTGAAGCGGTCACGATGTGAAATCTGTCACGAATGCTGTTTTGTACAGAGGGCTGTCACTTCTGTAAAATCAAATCGATTTACTGAATCGATCGCCCAATCAAAGTCATTAAACCTTACCGTATACAGAACAGTGAGCATCCCCATTGAGCCTCCAACCAGGACGTCCCACCAATGGTGCCGGTGGTCGGTGAGCCTGCTGAGAGAGCAGACGGCTGCGTACACCAGACAGGCGATTTGGAGGAGTGGCACCACCAGGACAGAGCGGTTGTGCCAGCTGAACGCTCTTCTTTGGAGATACCACTGTGGAAGAGAAGTTTGGTTAAGATTTGGATATCGACTGAGGGAGTTTGGAGTTCTGAGAATCATATTGTTTAATAGAAATTGAACCCACAATCTTCTTCCTCGCTCTTCCAAGAGCTTCCTCGTAGTAAAAAAAACTGCCATGCAGCTTCTCCGAGTATAGAGGCGTAGAACACTAGAAAATTTCCGCGAGTTTGTTGCTGTGCAAGCAAAGTTTCGTAGTCTCAATTGTCACCTGAGGATTCAACCTTTGTCCAGTAAATATTCGCCTCTATTATTCGAAAAATTTCCTCGTTCTATGCGCTAAAGTATTGAGTATTTAAAGCCTTTCTTTCTTCTTAATGGTCTTCCTTATCTTACTTAGGTACATCCAGCGATGGACTGACGATAATCTTCATCTATTTTTGTGTTTCTACTGCCCGTTTTCACCATCAATCCCTAATTTTTAGTGATCCCTATGGTAACACTTAACAGGAATTTTGTTTTCATAGGGGCACTAAAAATTAGGGATTGATGGTGAAAATGGGCATCAGAAATACAAAAGCAGATGAAGATTATCTTAACCGCTTGAGTCCCAGACGGCATTCATTAATGTCATAACAATTGATTATCTATTGTGTCTAGATTCGCGGGCCTTGAAGGATTAATACTCACAGCTAAGAACAGGCCGCAGTAGACGGCCAGCGAGGAGTGCGCAGACGGAAAGCTCCTAGTGGAGTCGATGACCAGGTACCGGGAGTACTTGGTAGAGGTGCAGGTGTAGCTGCTCACGTATTCAGACCTGTGGATAAAGAATATGATTATATTTTATCAGTTATCAAACATGAAGCAGAACTAACGCGCAGACCACTGATTTTAAGTCGGCCGATAGTTGGGCCCCATTCTAATTTGTATGAAGAATCAATCGGTGTAATGTGCGCACTTCCAATACATGCCCATACTGATCAACTGCCCGACTAAACTATCGGCCGACGAAAAATCGGTGGTCTGCGCCTAGGCTAAAGGCCCCAATATTTTCTTGGATTTTGGTTCGTTTTTTGAAAGGATGCTCAAATAGACTCGAATTTAAATGTATGTGAATGTTTGAATTTCATTAGGTCCAGATCAATAGCAGTTTGATTTTTTTATGAGTAGAGCCTTTGTGTTAGATAGTGAAGTAGGTTTTCAATGCTTCCGTATCAAAAGACGTGTCGACCGGTTAACTTTGACAATAAATGTCAAAAATACATCAAACTTCATACAAAAAGCACCGGTTATAAAGTTAGGTGGTGCAACTCAGCCTAAGTAAATAAAAATTCGAAAGACCTTGAATTTTTTCACATTATCTGAAAAAAAAAAAAAATAGCTCTGTGTTTAAATTACAAGTATTGTAATCCTGTATGTCTAACTTGACTGGGCTAACGTAGTAATATCAATCAATGATTTCAATAACAAGCTAACAATATACATCAATCCGGTCACAGAGCATTGTTTTACTGAGCAAAACATGATTTCTAAAGTACATGATCTACGACAGAACTAACGTCAATTCCAATCGCTTTTAAAATTATAGCAATCACTTGAAGACTGACACTAACAAGAAACAATCACACAAAGAATGTTTTCATATTGTTCAGAACATCATGCGCACTGACACATTATTTAAAACACACTGAATAATATCGTATTCAATACATACAACAAAAGAATTCCTGAAGATTTGCAAATAACAATAATGTAAGACGCTGAAAATCTTTTGATATCATAATCGATATTTCTACACAATTCTACAATTTTCCTTACAAAGTTAAACAATCTTATAATGACAGTCCAGATATAACGTCAATAATCTTGTTAACAAATCAATAATTGTCTGATTATATGACGATTATGTGCACACATTAATTAACAACATCTGAAATCACCATAGATGAAGTCGCAGACCGGAAGTTAATTATTGAATGTTATTAACTTAATTGGTTTAAATATCTTAGTAAACAGTTTATTAAGGAAAATGAGTTATTAAGTGATAAACATAAAATAAATTACTAGGATATTAATTCGAATTTATTTACTAAAATAATAATAATATTGCTGTAATTATGTTGCTGTCGCGCTCGCACACTCACTGCGGGCGCCTGTCGCGCAGTCGCGACAGCAATATAATTACGCGCGAGTGATAAGAATGGGTAGCTTGGGGTCATTGGACAAAATTCTACGTGCTCGCAGACCAGGCTTTAGTACGGTCAATAATGGTAAATCAAAAGGTAGAAGACTTCAGACAGAATATACTTAAAGCTCTGAAACATCAATCTTTTAAACTGCGATCTCCAACCCGCCTGCCAAGCGTGGATATTATGGCAAAACCCTCCACTATAGTGGAGAAGGCTCATAGTATAGCTTAGTCCAGCAGTAGACAGTAAAGGGCTGTTGATGATGATGATGATACTTAAAGCTTAGCTTACCCATTGCAAGGAGTATCAGGCTCGCACAGATCAAAGAAGGTCGGCCTCGGGGACCCGATGACGCACTTGACCACCTCCAGAACAGTCAGGTTGACCACGGCCCCGTAGATGTAGTCGCGGTATATGAAGCCGGCTGTCTTGGCCGTGGTCAACAGCTTGTTCTGCTTCATGCTGTATTCTTCTTCGCGGTGGTGTATTGTTTCTACGGCCCACATCTATGGAGAAGAAAACTTTAAATTAGTGAAAATTCACCTAATGAAAGAAATTGTAGTAAAATTCACTTGTAAAAAAATCTAAACATGGAACTGTTATTAATTCCTCTTTCATGAAGTCGGTTAAAAATAATTGAAGATCTCGAAGACCAAAAAATCGTGAAGAAAGATGTTTTTAATGAGATGAGAGCTATCGTTTTTGTGATCAACATTTGCACTGGCAAAAGACAGTAGGACCTTATCTACAGTGGCGTTATCATGGTAAGAGCAAATGCTACAGTCTTACCGCTTCAGCGTTCACCAGTTGGCGCCACTAGCGAGTGACAGGACCTTACTCTACAGTAGCGCAACTGGTGAGCACTAAAACGATAACCTTCGACCTATTAACTATCATTTTTAATAACAGTACTAACATAATGTGATAGAGCTAGATTTACAATCAAAAATTCATACTCACAATCAAAAACGGTACGATCACTGTGATGGCAGCCACGAGCGAGATGGAGAAAGTATCCCCCGTGTGTTTGAAAGAGAGGGCAGGATCGTTGCATGTGTACCCACTCCGGCGACTCGGCAACGCCCCGACTTCTAGCAGGATGCATACTGCTGCCACTGTTGACAAAGATATGGGAAACTTTAGAATGAACATAATTTTCTTTTTTTAATGCAGAACAAGGCAGGGTCATGAGTGGGGCTTTCGTGTGGCTTTGGCGAGGATTTCGTGGGGGTTTCGTGGGGGTCTCGTGGGGCTTTCGCGGGGCGTGCGTGGGGCAAGTGCGGGGCGTATAAGGCCTCTACACGCTCTCTTATGAATTCGCACGCGCACCGGTTACTTTGGTATTGTACGAGTTGATATACTTTTAAAGACCCGAAAAGGTTTTTCTTGATAGGTACTTATTTATTCAATAAGTTACTACATTTTCAGACTAGGAACTGAATTAACTATGTTAAAAAGTTATTTAATATTATGAATACAAAATCCTACCTACTTTATATGAAATACTTGAGTGAATTAAATGACTAGTTTGCGTGTATATTGTATAGTATTTTACGTTAAGTGGACTACCTATACAAGAACTAAGTATAAACAATTTTAATGTCCGCATAAACTATTATGAAATATTTTCACAAAATTGACCCAAATTCCTTCAAAATATCAACAAGAATTCTTAGCTCGAGTCGCGTACTAAAAATAACTAAGTAATTAAACTTTAATGTTATTTTAACGACATTTCTAACATTTTTCTTTGATTTTATTTATTTTATCGTATTGTTTAAAATTTAATTAATTACTTATCTTTTCAGTGCAAGATTCAGAAAAAAAATATGTAGTTTTAAAGAGAAGAGCGATGTTTCCAAAGACAACAGTTTATGGAGTTTTATTTTTTAATCCCGCTTTGTACGTAGACTTTTATCTTCACCATCATAAATAATGTTCTCCAATGATTTACGGTATTACCTTAAAATATTTAAGTGTCCTATTGATTTATGGAATATTCTGTAATAATATTGTCTTTGTGTCTTTTACGATTCGTTTTTGTTTCTTTTTCACGCCAACGTTTGATTGAACGGCTGTAAAATTGTCTTTTACAAATAAATAAGCAGTATATCTTTACATATGAGATTTATGTGTTGCCAGAATACAATTAAATATTACACGTCTTGGAAATACAGACGTGCATTGTAAATTATTCTGTAATAATTTCAGGCGTGCAATAAAGCATCTTGAGATTTATAACCATCGTTGCGGAGTTGGATGAGTCAAAACTCAAGAGGCAATTAATATGTTGTTTAAATGGAGCCACCCACTCGGTTTTCCGAAAATTATGTTGTTTCTAGTAAATAGGATTTATTTACTACTGTGCGTTGGATTTAAAGAAAATATAGGTAACCTACGCGCTACTCGTAAGTATGTCTTGTCATGTCTTTTTTTTTAAAACAAGCTCTGAAGCTCTTTGTTTTTTTCAAGTTTGAATTTGAATTTAGAGTCTTGGTTTAATTTTTTTATATTTTTTGGATTATGGCTTCTTACGATTTGTACTAGCCAGTGTCAAGTAAATTATATTGAAGTATTTTGCGTGTTTTTCTCTTTTAGCTGTTTTCAAATAAAGATTTTTCTTTTTTTTCTTTCAGAGACTGATCAGTCTTCAACAGAGGTTCTTTTAGAGATATAAACCTCCGTAGAAATTTTGGCGGATGAAATGTCACCTAAGTCGTCTATCTTACCCAACCTACCAAACTCTACCCACATTATTATTAAGTTTAATGTCTTCAGTTATCAGAGTCCAGATCTAAGTTTTGAGACTGGCTCCGGAAACCATAACCTTATCCTTCCTGCTGGATACGATCTGTGATAGAACAGATAAATAAAATAAAATGACGTTATGGTTTCCTAAAATCATTTTAGTAATTCTATTGAGATGAAAATATTAATGTATATAAGCGTTACCGATGGATAAAAAAAATCATAGAACCAAATTAATAACCTCCTTTTTGAAGTTGGTTAAAAACAGAATCTGAATATTCTCTTAGGCTGGGTTGCACTATCTTACTTTAACTTTGACAAACGTCACAAATCTGTCAAAGTCCGTACACAAAACACCAGTTAATTTATTATTGACGGGGTTTTTTTATGTGACAGGACGCAAACGAGCAGACGGATTACCAGTGGGTCTAGACAAAGTGCAAATTATAATCGCAAACCAGTCGAAAAGTGGTCTAAAAGCCCCTTTTTTGTATGGAGTTTTGACGGATTCGATTTTCGATTCGATCAAAAAGTGCGTTTTGTCTAAGGGGGCTGATGGTAAGTGATTACCGTCGCCCATAGACACCCGCAGACCCAGGGGCGTTACAGGTGCGTTGCTACCATGTACCTTAATTTCGAATATCCGATATTTCGGCACTGTTGCAAGTGCAATAGTCACGGAGTAACTGTAATAATTATTATGGAATATTCTCGTTTGGAAATAATTATAAAGAGGTGTATATCATCTTCATTAGACTTCATTAGACACACATTTTAGTAACGAAATCGCTTCTTTACATGTACATTATTAGGTGCTCTAGTTTATAGCTTAATGTGCCATCTATAACATAAGTAACATAACTCGTTACACAGGTATAACTGGTTACACTGCTCTACTTATTTTTTCAATAAAATTGAAAGCTGAAAGAAACAAGTTAATTAAGAAATAGAATTCGACGGAATATTGCTCAAAATTCAATTAATCGACAACTTGACAGTTCGAAATTGCTTGTCTAAAATTACGAGTATTAATTTCACTGTAATGTATTTTTAATGTAATTATGAAAATGAAAAAAATATATTTCATAATAATATATATTTAGTTCGCTGCCGTATGTTTTAATGCTTCAATGCTTATGGCGGCTCGTGAAGTCTAAGGCTGGGTTGCACCATCTAACTTTGACTTTAACAAAGTCAAAAATCTGTCAAACTCCATACAAAAAGAACCGGTTATCGTTATGTATGTAGTAACCGTTAAAATTGGGTGGTCAGTCTAAGAAGTAAATAACTATTGTTTTTTGCAAAAACTGAAGAAATTAACCATTATTTAACTAGTTCACCGCCTTCCCCTTTTTATTTTAACAATTGTCCTCTGGAAGAGATCGCTTCATAGCGATAAAACCGCCTGCATTGTGAGGTCTCTTTTGTGTATTTATGTATTCTCTATTCTTGTTTTGTGTTGTATACCTACAATTAAGTGTTATCTATCTAGGTATCTACCTAAAAATAACTTAAAAACCCCAGCACATCAAATTAAAAAACAGGTAGAGTCAACAACGTTAAAGTTCGCGTTAATTTGTATTCGACACGCACTACTCCAATAACAAATAAACAACGCACTAAGTGCGTACTTTGATGCAATCACTTAAAGGACTGATTTTTATTTCCAACGTTAGGTAGCGGTTCTCAAAGGGGTGTGTGAACCCCATGGGTACGTCAGTTAAAGTATTCTCAGTCCTTACTCGTACATAATATAAAGTGCGAATGTGGGTAGAGACATTAATTGTGAGATGAGTATAGCAATGCGTGTCTCCGTGCTCTCTTAAAAAGGTAGTCATGCTCTCATAAGAATGTAACTTCACATTTTGATCAAAGTCTACTTGAGATAAAGAAAGAATTTAAGTTGTAAATTGAACTCTATCAACTAAATTTTTTTTTGTCAAGAAACACACCTTAATTATACCAAATTAATAAATACATAATAATATTATCTTCTTTTGTACATTTTTATGTTTTTTATTAATAAATTAATTACTATGTAAAGAGTTTGGGCCCTAAATACTGAAATGTGGGGTGAAGTAGAGCTAAAAGTTTGAGAAATCTTGCCTTTGGTGACTATAAAATTTGTCAACTCAATCTGTCCGTCTTTTTCACTCATGTTACCGTATCAAAGGGAGTAAAAGAGACAAATATATTCGGAGATACCAGGCAATCTAAGGCCGGTGGGGCAGGACAAATAAATTAGTCAAGGTATGGCGAGACGTCACGCGACAAAAACTGTCTTATAATTTACATGTTAAATGCAAGTAATGAGTTTACACAAAAGGATAGTTCAAAAAGTTATGAAATAGACAATTTTCGATTTAAAGTTACATGAAATAAAGTAAAAAGTTCGCTGAAATAACATTTAAAAAGTCAACTAATCTTCCAATATTGGCCCAAAGTTATAATTTATTTAAATATTTTTTTGTAGGAATGACATTATAAAAATTTTACGATTCTATTAACCCTAAACTATCATTAACACTCCCAAAAAAACATCAATGACTAACACCTCTTAAAATACACATAACGATAAAAATCCTTAATCATCAAGTGTTAAAAACCAATAAAGCGTTAAAAGGATCGATAATTTGAAACTGTAAAAGTATTTCATTTAAAAATCCATTAAAAATCCTTAAAAGCCGTTACTGTGCGCAAGAGCACTTATCTAAACGTTAGCTGTAAGCTCTCAGTTATCCTAATCAGTAACCTTAAGTTACAGTTAAGTTAGGCTCGCTATCTGCTGGGTAGCGGTACAAGCGATTCGAAGCTAAGTTTACGGCCAGTTAATGTTTCAATTTAAGGTCGAAACCAGTAGTTTACTCGTTTATGATAGAGCCTTTTGAAAACTAGCACATGTTAAGTATGGATGAGGTTAGTTAAGTTAAGGATTAATAAAAGGTATTAATTTTGTACTTAGGTCTACATTCTTATACCTACTCTTAATGGCTTTATATGTTACGGTTAAATAAGCTATAAACCCTCCACTACAGTGAAGGAGGCTCAAAGCCCAGCTGTGGACTGTAAAGGGCTGTTGATGATGATGATGATGAAGCTATAAAAGCTACATATTTGAGATAAATGTTGTCGGTATTATTAAAATTGTATGAAGCAATTTATGGCTGCTACTAGAGCAAATGTAAAACAGTTATCATTTTATTACACTTTTATGATGTCAGATGTCACAGAGTGCATTCAGCGCTGAAGTGTCAGATTCACTTTTCCAAGCCGTAACTTTAAGGTGTTAAGATATTGAAAGTAAATTTTATTCGTATCAACCGAGCAGTAAATTGTCAACACGTCAATTTTATCGCCTCTAAACCAT